TTAATTAGCACCCAACAAACATCCAGTAGCTCTTTGTTCAAAGGTAACCACTCTTGTAAATGATTCTGCCTTTGTGGAACAGCACAAGACCAAAGGAGCACCACTAGCAATGCTAGCAATGGCAAAAGCAGTGTCAGAATCCATCTATCAATCCAAGGACTCCACAATTCCACCAACATTTTGAAGAACTCACCATGACAGTTCTATCCACAGAGGAGCAATTAAAATCTCCACACTACCACTCCATTTTTGGCCAGAAACTACTCCTTTTGGACTGGAATCGATGTGGAATTACGGTACCTTGTCCCGATGGAATATGCTCTGGCCAACTCAAGAATGCGAGGCACAACTGGTCCAAGAACAAGACCTTGTTCCCTATCTTTGGCATCACTGGTCCTCCTTCTGGGTGTATAGTCATGTCCATGTTTTGTGGAAGCTGCAACAGAAGATTCGATGCCAACTCTGCAGAAGTGCTGGTCTCGATCCCAGACCATGCTTCATTGCTCTATCCATTGGAGTCCAAGTATGCTCTACCTAACAAGCCTTGTCATTTGGAGCGAAAAGCAACAGAAGTATTCGATACTATCATGTTAACCTATGGAAATGGAGAACTCTGCAGCCGGCTCCTGTTCAATGCAATCAACAGAGATTATCTTAGAGCCATGATGTCATACTTCTCATACTGGCAAGGAAGCGCCACTGATCCTGATACCTTTCTTCAAAAGGATGGCACTTACATCAGACAGTTTCCTCCTCTTGGTGACACCATCCGTGACATCTATGATGCTGCTTGTGCTTCAAACAGGAATCCATGGAGGATCAGTGACAACCAAAGGCACACAAGAGAGATCCAAAGTGTCAATTGCAACAAAGGAATCTTCTGCCAAGACCATACATTCCAGGTGATCAAGAACTACAGCAGGAGTCTTGGTGCTGCTGCTGTTTGGGATGCTGCTACTGACACTGGAGAGATTGCGTCTGCAGTTCTGGTTCCCACCACCAAGACCATCCACTTCTCCCATGCAGCCATGCAGCTAGCAAGGAGGAGCAACTTCAATCCAGCTGCCATGTACAGCGACACCTGGCCCCACAAGGATGACTATTGGGAGCTGCTCTTTCCAGGTATCGAGGGAAGACTTGGCCTGTTCCATTATGAGAAAGGATTCTGTCAACTTTGAGGAAGGGTCACATTGATTACTTTCAAGCAATGGGAGACCTCTTGGATTGCCTCTATGAGTACTCACCAGATGACTATGAGAAGGTCCTCCATGCTTTGAAACATGGTCTCTTGTCCTCCAATGGCAAGCACTACTCCATGGCTGAGATCTCTGATATGCAAGCTTCCAAGGTCTTCAGAGCTAGGTACTCCAAATACCTAAGGAAGCAGATGAGGTCACCAGAGACAATGAGGCAGAGGTTGCAGCAGTGGTTCTGCAGGTACAAGGTGACAGCCAGTGATGGTAGCCAGCCAGGACAAGGGCGACTGGATCCAGTCAAAAACTATACCTTGTTCACTTCTGATACCAAGCCAGCAGTAGAAAACTGTGTTGACAAAGCGGCTCACTTGGCTGATCCCCTGGCACTGGAAGACATGTATGACACCATCCTACCATCACCCAATTCCAAGCACAACCTCCCAGAGTACCTATCAAGGAGAGGAGAATCCAAGTTAGAAGCATTCCACGACAAGTTTGCTCACTTTGGCAATAGTGGAATGAGAAGAAGCCTTGCTGATGCACTCAACCTGGCTGGAACTGCAAGATACAACCTCAAGATTAGACACAAGAGAGCCTTCCTGTCAAGAATCAGTCTGGCAGAGAGGAGGGCAATTCCAGCCGGATGGGAAAATGTTGTACCTTACTGGAATCATTCAGAGTTAGCTTACCTCAATGAGCTACCAGTGGCTGTGGGTCTCAATGAACCATTTCCTAATGCAGAGCCATTGCCAGAGGATAATGGAGAGAGGTTCTTCTCAGAGTTCATTGTTGCATTCAAACCACAGCGGCAGAAGTATGCACCAAATGATTGTTGTTTGTGTGTGGCTTGTACAGGACCAGAACCACCGACTCCACCAGCAATCGAGCCACCAAATCCACCAGCAATCGATCCACCGACTGCAACAGCAATGGTTCCACCGCCGCCACCACCGCCACCGCCACCCGCCACACCACCACCACCACCACCACCACCTGCAGTGCCACAAACAAGAAATGCTTATGTTGGTAATTTGATTCTATACCAGCAACAACAACAACAAATTCAAATGATGCAACTTGCCATGCAAATGCGGCAATTCCAACCCATACTGCCATATCCTTTCCAGCCACCTCCTCCACCGAATGGCTGCTGTCAGAGATACTGCCAGTGGTTGACCAACAGGAGAGGAAGACCACCTCATGATGCCACCTGTCAAACTCGATTGAATGGATATCTGGCATAAGAACAGCAATAAATATTTAGGTACATCCGATTCATTTCTAATTTAGCAAGTAACTTACATTCAAAGTCCTTGTTGGTTGTTGCCATCAATAAACATAGCCAATTGGGGTCTCATGCCTCCATGATACTGAAGGTCTTCCATGCACAACATCACAAACTCATGATTCATCATACAATATTCCTTGAAGGAAAATTTGGGTTGGTACCACTGGATGCAATACCCATGCCAAGCATCCATGCAAATCTGGCCTTCAATTGAGCCCAAGTCATACTCCTCAGTGATCCTATCCTTTGCTAACCAATAGATGCACTCCATAAACATGTCCTTCCTTTCACAGGGATGTGGACCCTCCAGCATTTCAGAAAGGGTAGCAACAACAGCACGGTACCATTGTGGACTATCCTGGCGTCCCCATTCAAACATGTAGTCCATGATGCCTGTCATATCAGGAGGAAGAGGCTTGCCTGCTCCTTGCAATATCAACTCCTCAAGAACCGTCACTTCCATGCTTGTTGTGGGCAAACAGAAGTTGTCCTCCTCGTCGCTGTTGTACCCACAAATGACATACTTGCAGGTGAATCCATGCCTTGTAACTCTCAGCTCATTGTATGGGTATTTGTTGACACTTTGCAGCCACTTGGAGAACCATGGACTAGTGGCGATCCTCATGGTCGAGTTGTTGTTCTTCCTGGAGCGATCTCCGATCTCCGATCTCGTTGCACGCCGATCTCCGATCTCGTTGCACGCCGATCCGTCTTGCCAAGAGTACTTGCCCCTACCGATGTAGTCGCTGACTTCAAGACAAACCAAGCAAACGAAGCGTCGCACAAGGGAGTAGTGCTATTGTTGTTCAAAGGTCGAGTAATAGTACTGGTAGGATGGAGTGGTTGTTGTTGTTGCTGCTGCTCCGAGAGTTGTTGTTGTTGCTGTTGCTCCGAGAGCAGAGTTTCGGTTGATTTTCGAAAATAATGGGAAGGTCTGGTGCGAGCGAAGGATGGGAAAAAGAGCGAAAAAAGAGCCAGTCAGCCTATCCGTTACGTGGGATTTGAATTTGCGATCATGCATGTGTTTGTGACGCATTTGCTGACATATTCAACATTCTTCGGACGTCTTACCTATGGGGAGATCAACGGTCTTTGCCTTTTCCCCTCTTTTTTATAAGTAAACATGGCTTCCGATGTCTCCCACATAACCTCCTCGCTCTCTCGGATGTCTTCAACATGACCTGGCAGGCTCTCAAACGGGAATCAGGAATCCAAAGGTTAACCCTCTCCCTCTTCTTCTTCTTTTTCCCTCCCCCGCGCTCATGCCTAACCCCTCCATAAAGTCCACGCACAAGGCTGAGGCCCGGAAGGCCGAAGGCCGACTGCCGAAGCCGAGGTTGTAGTCGAGATCGCAGCCGAGAACAAGGCCGACAGTGAGGCGGGAGATCTTTGTGTGTAATCTACCTGACAAACAGCCCGAGGAAAAATGTACAGTAACAGGAGCGCCATGGTCGTTGTCGGTAGCCATGGTTGTTGTTGTTTTGCGTGTGCTGTTGTCCTTGAGGTTGGTACTCGGAGTAGCGCCGGAGTACATTTTACCATTGAACGAGTCGTGTTTCAGAGATTTCAACGACTATTTTCTGTGTCCTTTGATTACTTATGGGTCAAGAAATGGCTGAAAATCCAACAGTGGATTCTCCATGATACTACTAGTGGGATCTTACCCGCCAAATCTCACTCAAGAAAACGGCTGAAAATCCAACAGTGGATTTTGCACAGTAACTACTAGAAGAGTAAAACTTCCAATCAACTCGCTTCTTATACAAACCTGGGAAATGGCACTCAAAATCCATGTGGAACATTAAATCTTCAGAGTGGATTCTCATCTAAAATCCAATAATTTGTCCTCACACAAACAACTAGACTAGTGGATTTCGGACGTTTCTTTTTTCAGCCTGTAGAAACAGTACTAGAGCTACGAGGGCTTGGCGGGTGGATTACAGTTTAAAAAATAGTATGCATCAGTCGCCTCTACCGATATAATCCCTTGTACTACATGTATATCATGATACCCTGGAAGCTACACTACTACGCTACCCGTAAGTGCTGGATATGATATGGTACGACTATCTCTCTGGGACGGGTGCGGCAAAACAAGCAAAGCACGGAATTCATTGCATCTTTGGTGGTGCCCGAGAGTTCCGTGGTTTCCGGGCTTCCTGTCTGACCGGTGAGTTGAGTTAGACTACTCAGTAAGGACAACACGAGTAATTTCCTGTTGGCCGGTATTCTGCCACACTGTACGGTATCTTTTCCGATACTCCCGCTCCTGTTGGACCTGAGTTATGTGGTGGTGGGTTTGTTGCGGGAGTCGAGTCGAGTCGTCGATCTCGAGCGGAGGGAGAGCAGGGTGACTCGACTCAGTCGACCAACTGTCAACCAGCGACGATTTGAATGACCTTCCAATGACCTTGGAGTTTTTGAAGCCTTGAAGTGCCCCACAAAACATCAACGCGACGTTGGGAGTTACCACCACTCACAGCCACTTGAACCAAAGACTTCCAAAAGAGTCCACCATGCGGTTCAACGACGGCAAACGATCTTTGGTGGTAAAGTTCATTGTGTTTCTAGCAATTCCTCCTGTTTTGTACAACTTTGTGGAAATTAGTGAGTTTTCAAACAATGTTTTCGAGTCCGTTGGTCTGAAAAAGACTGCCGAAGCCAGGGAGTTGGAAGGTGGGCATTTGAAGGTGACCGACAGCCATCATGCCATTTTATTGAACAAGCTCAGCCATCAACTGGATGAACTGGATCTTCCACCAGAACAGGAACAAGAGTTGGTGGAGAGTTTTCTTGCGGAAATGAAGAAGAAGCACACTGGTAGCAAGAATCTCAATAAGGAGAAAGACTCTTCAGTTTTGGATGGCGAAAAGGAGACAGTGGAGACAAAAGCGACAACAGGAACGACTCCAAATCCAACCAAGGCAGCTGCTGCTCCTAAACCCACCAAACCAAGTCCCACAGAAGCCGAACTGCCAAGACCAAAATATGACATTGCGGACAATACAAACTACCCACTGATTCCTGTGATTGACTACAACTATGAGCACGATTTTGTCCAATACCGAGACCACCGAAACAGATTTGCACTGCCCGAGTGGCTGGACGAATTCTTAAAGACCCAACCTGCCAACAACCCACAATCCCATCATGAAATGCTCACCAATCCAGACAACAAATTCATTGTCATAACCTGCTACAAATATGGCAATAAAAAGCTAGAAGACTGTGGTGGGCTTTCCGATCGATTGGCACTAATGCCCTACCAGCTGTGGTTGGCACACAAGACAGGACGCAAGTTCTTGATCAAATACTACAAACCACTCCCCTTTGAAGAATTCTTAGTCCCACCACCAGATGGTTTTGATTGGAGACTACCAGATGGGTATTTGATGGACGAATGGTACGAATATGGCAATCGCACTGCAACCCAATACAAGGCTGAACGAAGAGTTGCCTGGCACAAGAGAATGGAACAGGACGAATGGAAAGACAAAAAAGTCATCTTCATGAATTCCAATTTGGCCATTCCAGAAGTCCGACCACAACAAGACAAGCTTGTGGGGACACCAGAAGATGAACTCTGGCCAGCGCTCTTTCGACGTCTCTTTCAACCTTCCCCCGGAGTGGCCAAGTCCCTGTCACCTCTCACCGAAAAAGTAAAGGCAGGGACTTATGCTGTGGCGCACGTGAGAGCAAAATGGCCCAATCCAGCCTTTGGTAGACTCAAGTACAAGAATCAAAAATGGTGGAAGGCAGATAAAGAAGGTGGTGAATTAGACATGGAGGATACCAACACCAGTCGCATTATTTCCACCTTGGCCAACCATGCCGTTGAATGTGCCGTCCGGATCATGCCAGAAACGGAATATGTGTATCTTGCCAGTGATTCTTCAGAATTGGTTGTTTACTTGCAAACGCAGAGTCCATATTGGAGTAGTACTGGTGAGATTTCGAAAATGAGCTGGCCTGGGGCAGATCCTGCCATGGCCAATAGTACCAATGCCACGGAACATGGTTGGGGTGTCCCAGCTTGGGAAATCCCCACAACCGCAAGGACAATTGCAAGACCAGATTTTGAAAAGGCGGCACCACATTTTGATGGTGCCAAATGGGATCGACCCGAAGGTGGATACCCGGTCTTTGAGGACATGTGGATGTTGGCACATGCCAAGTGCCATACCACTGGAGTGGGTGGGTTTGGACGACTGGGGTCGGTGCTATCGGGTAATCGAAAAATATGCGCATCTAGACATCGCGATTATAACGAGATGGCATGGTCATGTCCTACTCCCGACGAAAGAAAGGCGTTCAAGGCAATACACCCTGGGATCAAACGACGGAGGAGGAGACAGAGGAGACGTCGTCGGAACTAGGAGGCCTCCATTTGGAGATATTTAAGGCCACTAGCTGATACTTGTTGTCTGCAGCACTCTCTCTGACTACCGGTAGCTGTGATGGATGAATATTGAGACTTCATAGAACCCTTTGAAAAAGGGGGGGAGACTAACCATAGTTTCATCCTTGTTTCCATTGCAAGAACAGCTACAGCCACACAAGCTGGTACAGTCAAAATACAATCCATTGGCGCCTCACTGCCAAACCGGTGGCTATGACACTTCGGGTTGGTTAGCACCGACCAAAGTTAAACAATGATGGGCAAGATAGCTACCAATCGTAGAAGTACGGCAATCTTGACTTATGGGGTTCAAAAGATGTTATTTACATGAAGTTGTCTATCATCATAAACGCCTTCGCAAAGTGCAACATGCTGGAAATCAGGGAGTTGCGGTTCTGCCCAAGACGGTCATCACATGATTCGATTCTGCTTCGATTCAATCTCTCAAAACTTTCTAGTGTGGTAGGCTTACCATGCAGTCAAATCTCAATCATATTGCTGACCCCCGATCTAGAAGTTCGCTCTCTTCTCTTTGCAGATGATCTTGGGCAAAGACGCGACATTGATCTGCGAATTCTTCTTCTGCCGTGTCATCACTGGCCTCGGCATCATCGTCCTTGCTGTCGCCGCAAAGCAATTCGTATGCCACTTCCACCATGCTGTCTTCACCCCGAGAGGAACATGTAATAATATCGGTCAGCAAAACGCGTTTTTGTCGAGGAGAGATACTTCCTTGATCGCAAAGTCTTCGCAACGCTTGAATGCATCTTTGTCGTACGGAGGATTCCTTGCTGACGAATATTTTTGCATGTTTTGGTTCGTTGAGGCTGCTCGAACTGCCATCGTCCGCTCCGTTGCGCCGTTTGGCAGATGATTTGGCCCATTCCTTGATGATGGCCACACTTTCACCATCGTCGTCATCATCGTCTTCCATATCATCCATGTCATCCAAATCCAGTTCGACATCGTCCTCATCTTCGTCGTCGTCATCATCGTCATCTTCATCCTGCTGATCTCCCATTCGCGAAAACCGAATAATAGCCCCTTCCTGTGGCAAATTACCGTTTCCAGCAGCGTTGTTCCTACCTCCTTTGCTGTCGTTTCCCAGCAAATCTCCCAATCCCCCATTGAGAATATCGGATAAGGAAGCACCCATGATGATTCGCTTGGTGGGTTTTTCTTCCTCGCCATCATCTCCCAAAACGGGGCCAAACTCATTTCCCAGAATCCCTTCCATTCCAATGTCCTCATTTTCGTCTTGATCATCTTCTAATTGACGTCGTCGGCGTCTCTGCCGACTCGAGGGATCGTAGTCATCATTCCATCGATCTCCTACAATTTTCGATGTCGTAGCATCGCCAGTGTTCCCCGTCAATGCGCGCTTGGCGGCATCACTGTCGGGATGCCAACTGGCGTGATGATAACACATGTACCACTTGTCCTGTACCTTTCGAAAAATGTTTGTGGCGAGCAACTTGTTGATGAGTTCGGTTTGTCGTTTCTTGCCTCGTACAAATCGTCGACAAAAGACGTGTTCTTCGCACGTGACAATGGCCATGTGGGATCCCTTTTGGAGCACACGAATCTGATGCGGTTCCATCCAATTGCGTTGAAAGGATCCATCCGTGGATGCAAACATTTGTTTCCACGACTTTTGGATGCGTCTTGCTCCCACGAGGGGACGATGGGACGGATGAATGCAAATGCTCGTGTCGCCATCCAACCAGACGCGTTCCATGTCCTTCCAGGATTTCTTGGAAAACGCCTTGTAAAAGGCGGCATTGACTTGGAGAATGGCGCCACCGTCATCAAAGGCATCTTGTTGTTGCAGCTGCGACAGCTGCGCTTGTTTGAAACTAGCCATGGTGAAATCTTGTTGTTTGACGGCATCGTAGAGTTCCGACTCGAGTTGTGCCATTTGATCCTCGACGAGAGGTTGCTCGCTGGCAATGTGGTTCATGCTGATTACCTTTTCCATTTCGGCTTCGGTATCGACGGGGGCATCGGGCCCCTGCAAGATGCGATCAATTTCGGCTTGTGCTTTGGCAACGCGGATCTTTTTCATCACGTTGCGTGTCATGTTGCGTTCGCGGTCTTGTTCGTCCATACTGTTGTTGTTGTTGTCATCATGCTGCTGATGAGAAGACGATTGTGCTGGTTGCTGCTGCTGCGGTGAGTGATCCGGAGCACCGGAATCGTCTTCCAGATTCTTGTTCACTGCCAGTGTGAGTATACTAGTAGTACTGCCACCGCTGGAAAGCTGTTGGCGCCTCGTCGAGTGGCAATGTGTGGGCGATGGGGCCCACGCCATGGAAGTTGGCAGGCAGGGCCATGAGGATAGAGCCAGTAAGAGCACACAGCAAGGGACTGTGGAGAGATTGCTCATTTGTCGTTTCGGCATGATTAAAGAAAATGAAAACACTTGAGAGAATGTTGGGGTGGACTGTAGAGGAATCTTCTATGGGGAATGCTAGCTACTGTAGCGCTAGCTAGAGAAAGTCAAAGAAGTTGGGACTTGTTTTTACTGCTATGAAAACCTGGAAGCGAGGACCAAGTTGGAAGGGTCTTGTAATGGTGATGAGGAATATAACGAAGGATGGCTTCAGAAAGTGGGCCAGCTACTACCAGCAGCTTGCTAGCCAGAGCAAGGAATGGATCTCTGCAACTCTCGGGTGGCATCGGCATCCACCGCCACCCATCAACCAAAAGAACAGGAACGACAAAGGCAAAATTGCTGTGTCCAAACGCTTGCGGCTGCCACAAACGTCATCGGTTTGGTTCCACGTGTTCTTTTTGCAGTAAGGATATGGATAACCTTAATTACCTTCAAAGTGGGTTACCAGCAAAGCAGCCGGTAACACAGCCGCGGCCCAGGATGGAAAACGAATCGAATCTCAAATCGAATCTTCAATCAATCGAATCAATCGGCTTGGCGCATCTTTTGGATGAGTGGATGAGTGGTCTGCATTGTTACGTAGCTTCTGCTCCATTGTTTGCTTGGGGCATTGATACCGGCAATATACCTAGCTGGCTAGCTGGCAGATACAGCTAATCATTGCATCCCGTGGCTACATTTATCAACAAGCAATCAAACAAACAGCAAACAGCATCCATTCTTTTACTAGTACTAGCTAGTAGCATGGAAGCAAAATTCCTCCGGCGAGTGGACCAAGATCTTCAATAGTTTTCTACACAACGAAAGGTTCCATCTGAGCAAAGAAAGAGAGTTTGTTCATCATGCACGTTGGTCTGCCAAAGACAAAATCCAAAGGAGATGAATCGAATCTCGGAACGTGTTACCGGTACCGCGAACCTAGATCTACTGCTCAAGAGACAAGTGCCCTAATTCAAAGAGCAACCGGTACGACCATACAAAAGGAGATCTTTGTACTTACAATTTTGTGTGACTGCATGCAACGTGGGAGTCTAAGTTACTCATCAGGAAGGCACCAGGTTCTCTAATAGTCAATACACGTGTAGTCGTTCTAAAGTCGCGAAAGTCGTTCTAAAGTCGCGCACCGCGACTTTATCGCGACTTTTCACCGCGACTAGAACAACTTTCGCGACTTTAGAACGACTTTAGGACGACTTTGTGTGTAAATAACTAGAATTTTACCGCGACTTTACCGCGACTATATCGCGACTATTTGGTTCCAACTGAAAAGTCGCGCACGACTATACCGCGACTTTTACCGCGACTTTAGCGCGACTATCGCGACTTTTTTGGCGAAGCGGGTGAAACCTGGTGCCTTCCAGTACATTCAATGGAGTGTACAGTACCAGCACAGTACATGAGCTCTATGATGTATGATAAGTCCATCCCAACCAGAAGCAGGACCAACTTTTAGAAGAAGTCGGATTGGAAATTGGAAGTTGGAAGTAGTAATAGTGCGAATAGTTGAGGTAAATATTACTTTACTACACTCATTCCCGATCTCCTAATAAGAAAGCGAGTACTCGTACTCAGATTTTAGAAACACATATGAATCCAATCTCTTGATACTGTGATAGACTTGTAAGAAAACTTCCTTGTTATTGAGACCTCAAAGCACACTAGCTACAATAATGAGTCTGACACATGAAAATGAACCAAACTTGTACCTAAATCTGCAAACTTTTCTGCCTGAGACAGTGATCTCCATTCTTACATGATCCAACACAATTAAGAGCCCTGAGCAAGTTGGACCCAAAGGCCCAGGTGCACTGGGTGTATCCAAAAACTAACCTGTTTGATCTGGAAGCTTAGTAAGAAAGTTTGAAACTGAAATTGGCCTATTTTGTTAGAAATAAAATGAGTAGCAAAATACATGTAGAGCAGTTGGGTAAGAAAGCTCCAGTCCTGACTCCCAGCTAGCTAGAGATTGCTTATTATTGAGGTTGTAGTTTATCTTGTGATTAACTGATACATTGGGTTTACCACATCTACCTGCAACTCAAAGCTGTCTTCCTACAGCTGTCATCCGTTCTCCCAGCAATGAGCTCCGAATCTCCCAAATCCCAATCCCACCTTCATCTCCTTCTCCTTCCGGTTCCCAGAGTAGTTACAGTGCTCAGAACTCGAAAGGTGAAGCAAGTGTGTTTTTAAGTCAATCTGATGAGGGTTAAATCGAAAAAGGATCCAGAGAACATGACGAGTCTGCTTTGAAAGGCGACGCCTACACGCCTACACTCTTGACTACTCAGAGTGCCCGCTTGGACTTTTCTTTTTTAATAAACGATCTTTGATTCTCTGTTGTAAGTAAAGATGGTGGCGATGCATTGGTAGTATAGTAGCTTCAATACTAGCTAAATAGATCATTAACTAGTAGTCAAAGCAGTCATTCCTGTACCGGTAGGGCTTAGATTGCCGCGTCAAAGTATCTTTCTTTCTGAAAACTGCCTGATACCAGGCAACTTCTTCTGGACGTTCACTCAAGCGACAAAGGCAGAAGGGAACTGGGGGCATTTTAAAAATCCCAAACATCACATCAAAGCTCTCTCGTAAACTTGATACTGTTTTGAGTTAGCGGGGTGGCGGTACCACCATAAAAGTAAGTGTTGGTTACTGGTTCATACGGTAATCTGCGTAGAAGATTATTAGCTTCCCCAAGAAAATGTATGCTACCCCCCAGATAATGGATGATACCCCTCAAATCCAGGCGGTGGGGGAAGGTTCCGACATGATGTCAACCACCAGCAACCAGGCTGGTACCACCCATTACTATCATCATCACACCCATTCGTCCTTGGTGGATGAATGCAACGACCATCCACACAAGCAGAAGAAGAGATCCCAACGTAGTCTACAAGTAGGAGGCCACCAGACATCCGAAGCTAGCTTTATGGAACGCAGCGCCATTCGCACGGTGGATGTCACCGAACCGGCTCGAGCCACCCGCGAGGGCCACCTCATGTCCCTGCTGCCATTATCTCGTCGCAACCGCGAGACGGGAGAGCGGGAATTGATAGAGTTTCGAGTCTATGTGGAGCTCAGTGCGTTCTTGGCGTTCAAGCACGTTCAGCATCGCAGTGGTTCGGTCCTGGACGATCTTCCTCGCATGATGGAAGGATGCGACTTTACGTGGACCTACAAACATCATGATACCAACTTTTCTCCGTTGCAAGCCGCCACGGTCTTGTTCGAAAACAATGTTGGAAGGACGACGTCGACCGGCTCTAAATCGACGATACCAACAACAACAACCAGCTATACTACTACTACTACAACTTCAGTAATAAGTGAATCAGAAGGCGCCACACTACCACCACCCCCGCTACAAGATACCTCTGCTGGAGAAGATGAGATTCCGGTTTTTGAACTGGACGAGGGGGGTATTGTCACCAACATTTCTGCCTCGGCCCAATTCGACGACGACGAGATTATACCACAAGAAGAAGACGACGAGAATATAACAATGGCCTCCCTTTCCCTGTTTAACTTTACTACCTCGGATCACTCGGATCCGAGCAGCAATGCTACTACGACTCGTCGTCGACTGAACGATGACGATCACGACGATGACTTTCAAGCCCGGTCACATTCAGACAGCAGCAGCAACAATAACAATCCACAACCCTTTGCCATTCTAGGAGCAGCACGGTCGGTCGTATCCCAAACGGTGGGGACCTTGGCCAGTGCCTTGGATTTGCCGCAGATATCCTCCAGTTCCACATCGTCCAGTCTGGATACCCTCTCTCATTTTGCACGCACGGTACCCACCAACGCTGGTGATGCCCATGCCGCTGTGGCCTATCTGCATCATTTAAATGTCACCAATCTCGGTGTCTTGGTCATCAAGAATATATGGGGACGACGGTACGAAACCGAATTGACCCATCATGCCAAACGGTACAACATTTCCGTTCATTCCGTGGCATACAATGACGAAGACGAGAATCTCGAATTGGCCATGCAACAATTGCAAAATTCCAAGCTCCGCTATTTCATGGGAATCATCAATCCGTCCGGGTGGAAACCAGTCGTTCGCAAGGCATACGAGTACGGGCTCATGGGACGCGTCGGGTACCAATGGTATCTAGCCGATACCGTCGAACTCGTGGGGGACACATTTGCGTTGGATCGCAACACCGAATGGGATTTGGCACAGGCATTGCATGGGGTCGGTGTCATCTTTTTGCAGCTGGCACCCCATCGAGCCTTTGATCGAGCATTGACCGTGTTTGCCGACAATCGGCAAATGCAACAAGAATTCGTTGCCAGCCATGCCGAACCAGAACTATTGGAGGGATTCGAATTCAAGCTATTTCCCGGGCGCTCCTTGTTCCAATACTTGACCTACGATGCCGTGATTGCGCTGGGGCTCGCTGCGTGTGCCACACCGGGGCACTTTACCGGACAGGAATTTTACAATCAGTTGCTGCAGGTCGATTTTGAAGGGGTTTCGGGACGCGTCCGATTGCACAATAAAACCGGCACTCGGTTGGGGGAAGGCATGGACTATCAAGTCTTTAATTTGATATTGTCCGACTATGACACGCAAGCTGCCAAACCAACCGTCACGTTACCATCGGACCAAGTGACGTTTCGTGCCAGTCCTTCCATTACGGTGGACCTGTCTCCCGCGCTGGGGCAGGGAGTATCGGAAGCTCTTCCCATTATCGAAATCCATGAACCATTCATTTACCACGACAATTCAACTCTTCCGCCCCTCGTCTTGCCCCCTCTCGAGATTGAAATGAATCTGATTCCAACGGGAGTTCAGGTTTTTGGACTCTGTTTGGCCGCCCTTGTGATGCTCCTGTCCATTGGCTGCGCTGTTTGGACCTACACTTACCGAAGTGCCTACGTCATTCGCGCGGCACAGCCGATTTTCCTGGGTCTCATGTGCTTGGGAACCTTTATTCTCGCTTGCACCATCATTCCATTATCGTTCCAAGAGGATCTTTCAGGCTTGAATGGGGCTTGTATGACCATTCCATGGCTCTTCTGTGTTGGATTCACGGTCGCTATTGCTGCCCTGTTCTCCAAGGCGCACCGGATCAATAAGCTTATGCGATCGGGAAGTCAGTTGCGCCGAGTGAAAGTGAAACCAAAAGATGTCATCAGGCCGTTTGTGATCCTCATCAGCATCAACCTGATATTGCTGACGGCGTGGACGGCTTCTCCCTACAGGCTCCAGTGGCATCGACAACCCATGGACAATTATGACAGGTTTGGGCGGAGCGTAGAATCCTATGGGGGTTGTCGCGCAGAAGGAGGCCTCCTGTACTTGATATTCTTAGTGCCACTGGCCCTTGCCAACGTTGCAGTTTTGTTGATTACCACGGTGGAAAGTTGGAGGGGCCGAAAACTGCCTTCGCAGTTTTCAGAGAGCAAATTTGTGCTTGTGTCCTTGATCAGTCTCTGTGAGACGTTTGCTCTAGGAGGTGAGTGCTGTCGCGGGTGTTTTCTGGGAGATGTTTGTTGGGATAAAACGAGGAGAATTCTGACACCGTTCTGTCTCCCTCGTTTATTGTTGATTCCACTGCTACAGCTACAACATTGCTTGCCGTATTGGACAACCCAACAGCCCGCTTCGTCGTCATGTCACTCGTATTGACCATCGCCAGCTGCGCCATCTTGATACCGTTGTTCCTTCCAAAATACTTCCAACGAAATGTGGTCGAATCAGTCGGTCGCAAATCATCTGGCGTGTCCAATTACGCTGGCATGAGCAAATACGATTTCCGGGAACCACCCTCCGATCCGATGCAACCCGCACCGCGGTTGTCAGGACTCAGCCAAGACGAGAGTATCACTGATCTTGGGGCATTATCTGGCGGGAAGGAATTGGCGAGGAGTAACCACGACAGCCATGGACCGTTTGATGATTCAAAATCATTTGATAGCTCGATGGGGTCCTTCTTCAAGACACCCTCTGTACAGCAACTGCAGTACCTTCACAAGAATATGAATGCGAGCATCCAAAACATGAACCAGTCCGTCAATCAAGGCATCAAAGACATCCAGAACAGTGCCTTTTTTGCATCCGAACCAATGCCCATCAAGCGCACATCCATTGATGGTTCCGTGGCGAGTGGAAGGGCAAGTGCCGGATCCACTGGAAGCCTCGGCAATGGCAATGGATCCAACGTGGCCACGAACATTGCCAACGGCATTGGCTCGGGGATTGCTTCCGGCCTGGCCACGGGTGTCAATATTGGTTCGGGGATTGCCTGCGGGATGGCGTCGGGCGTGAGGGTGGTGGCCAACCCGGCCCAACGAAGTATTTCGAAAGCGGCGCTGATTGCCACTGCAACGTTGCACAAACTAGAGAATGCTCCCAACCTGTCCAGCTCCCAACTCTTCAAACTCAATAAGGAAGAGTCCAAACGCAAGATGCTGAGCACCCTGTCGGAGCATATGAGTTACGAGGAGGGCAGGACTAGCAGTCACTTGGACCCTACATCATCACATGCGCTGTCGTCGTCGCATCGAGAGGATGACTCGGAAAGTCCCTCCTTTGCAGGGAATGACGACGAGTCGGAAACCCCGCGTGTGTTTTAATCTGATATGGCTAAACTTATGTCGGCGCAGTCTGCTTTCTCTCTAGCTAGCACCCAAGACTGCCATGTTTTAGGGCGCACAACTAAACGAATCCCATGCCATAGTATGGATCGGAACCTATAATCTAAGAAACTTCTGTTCCTTCGGCTGCCTGTTTTGTCCTTTTATCGCTTGATACACAATGTAAAGGTACCGGACAGAACGAATGCTTCATGAGTGTATCGAAGGTCGAGGGGAAGGAAATCCAGCAAGACCAATCGAGAAACTCCTGTTCGATGAGTGGAAGCCGGGGACCTTGGCTGCTCTAGCTAGCTTGCTCGCCAAGGTTGTGGTACCTGTATAGCACCCTTTGGATCTGAGCGAGGGTTCGTTGTCAATACGACTGTACGATTTCAGGCCCTCGCGCCAAGACGGGGAGTGATCTTGGACAAAATTCCGTGGGAGTGACGGTCGACTCGTGGTGTTCAACTCTGACCCTAATCAGACATTGATTCCTTCTTTTTGAGACGCTTCTCCTGAACTCCTTAATTCTACAAAAACGCCCTTTACCCAGTCAAGAGTCTGAAGCTTTAGTGTGCAATTCTCGGGGCACTTGGGTACCTAAATGAAGTCGTGATTTTGGTCATTGGGAACTGCTGCTGTACCGGTTGGAGTGCCAGCAGTCTGTAAGAAGAGGAAGCCCTGCAAGAAATCTAGCTGGCCGTCAACCGTGACAATGGTGGCAAGAGCTGTGGCAAGTGGCAGGGCAGCTTCTCTCGCTGCCAAAACAGTTCCAGTGAGCATCCACAACAACCACCACCATCGACAACCAACTCTCCAAAGAAGTCCGACAATCTAGATAGACGATACATACATAGCCCTGATTTTTCATTCTCTTAGTTAGCAACAATCCACAACAATAGCCTGGCTGTGCAGGAGGAGCAAGCCAAATTCCATCCAATTCTACCCCACTCAACCCACCTGTAGCTATCTGGACCATGAGGTCTCAACTGTTTTACATGGAGGACATGTCGCATCAGAGCCATGCCATTGAGAGTGGTGATGATATAGCTACTACTGGTACAAAAGGAAACGATGGCAAGAGTCCCTACCAACGACAACGGCGACTCTGTCGCATATTCAGCGGGGTAATGGCGGCCTTTTTCGCGTATCAAATGTTTGTGGCCCATGTCTTGGCGGGCATGGTCCCCGACATTGAAGTGGACAAGGAAACGGGGCGCAAACGGATACGACGGAGACCCGAACGATTGCAGAAAATGGGGCTGGATGGGAAAATGAGACAACGGTGAGTTACATGTAGTTTCTATCGTCTTCTAGATGCTGGTCAAGTATCAAGGCTAGCCAATGGATTGGCTGGCTAGTATCTAGTCGTCTGACAGGACAGAGTTTCGCTAGCTTTATCACGAAAGTATTGTCTCTAATTCATCTTTGATTCATCATTCCTTAATAATTGCCACTGCACAGAACACCACTAGACGGCATCATTGAAGGACACTTACATTTGATTGATATCACGGTCCCCACTCACGACGCCATTACCAGTACCCGCTACAACGTGCAGGGAACCTTTTGCGTCATTGAATGGGCCAAACAACAAAAAGATCCCGCCAGTGTTCCTCTCTTTTCCGATCTCATTGAATCTTCGGCACTCTGTTCCACCACCACACACACGGCCGATCTATACGATGTCGCCTACAATGCCCGCCAGTGGGATTTGCATATGCGAAACAACACGCTCAATCACGATATTTGGAAACGAGAACAAAACAGACACATTCCACAACCCGAAGCGGCACCCATTGAACGATCCATTCCTCCCACGGCATTTGTCTTTCACGAAAGTAGATGCGGATCCACACTCGTCTCCAACCTCCTCGCCGCATTTTCGCCCGAAACCACCAAAGTCTACAGTGAAGCCGCCGCGCCGCTCAAAGCATTGCAAGCATGCTCTCATGATGGCGAAAAGTGTCCGAGTCAAACGATCCACCGAACGTTGGTACGCGACGTCTTTTACATGATGGGACGCACCCAACGGGGAGACATTTTTCATCCCGACCACAATGTCTTTTACAAACTCCAACCGGCCGCCGTACACTATATTCCGCTCCTCGAAACGTCCTTGTCACAACCCGTGCCGTGGATGTATCTGTATCGGGACAATGTTCATGTCATGCAGAGTCACTTTCAGGGAAGTGTCATCGACCCAACCAGCGAAGAAACCAACTTTTTGGGTGTCAAAAAGGCACCCAAGTGTCTGGACGGGTATCGTAGTACCGCCGAACAACCTCCAGTGCTGACACAACTCGTGGCACGGCAAGGACGTACCGTCCAGTCCTTGTCGGCCGAAGAATACTGTGCCGCGTATTTGGTAAGACAGCCGAAGCAAGAGAAACGAACGAACCACTTTTTGGTTCTGGGCGTGATGAGTTTGAATCTCACTTGACGTTATTCATTCTTTTGCTCTACTCATGTATTTCAGGCAAGTTTATCCGAATCTGCCATGCAACATTATCACACCGCTCAAAAACAGTCCCAGTGGCATCAGAAAACACCCCACTTTTTCGTCAGTTATCGACAATTGCCGGATGTCATTTGGGATCACGTGCTGCCCTCGCTCGGCATGTCGCTCAAGGCAAAAGACATTCATCGCATGGAAAAGGTCGCGGCTCTCTACACACAGGGACGTACCAGTGGAAAGAAACAAATGGTGTTTACGGGCGACAATGCCCACAAGGAAGCCAATGTGCCGGCCAAAATTGATCAGGCTGCGCATGTCTTTATGGATGCAACCTTTGCCAAGCTCGAGGCATTGGCCAATGCCACTCTCAAGGCTCCCAAAATGGCCAATGATGAAGAAGATGAGGGAGCATGAGAATGAACGAATGACGATCCGTGAACCCTTGTCACACGGGTGTGAACCCTTGTCAAGAACCTTGCGAAAACGCAGTGACGATTGTCGCCTCGTCACTTCGAAAAAGAGAGTTCCCTTGGGCATGAGACTCCAGCCATCTCGTCCGCCAATGGGAGGCATGGGGATACTGCTGTGTGTATAGTGTGTTCCCCATTCGGCCAGGGTGCAACGAATGTTGCACCCAGTTCATCGCGAAGCTAAGAATGACATACCTATGCCATCAGGCGCCTTTATCACCTGGGTTCTTCCTGCCCTCAACCTCCACTCCACACACGTACCCAGACGTTTGCGCTTGTTGTAGACACTTTTAAAATTTACAAGCAGTCTATCTTGCTAGAAAACAGGGCCAACTTGATGCGGTTTTGTGCGGTTAGCATCAAAAGCCGTCATCCCGTTCACTAGATCCTTGTAGTATCTCAATATCTTCAAGCTCTCCGCTATCCTCGTCAACCATTCCCTCTTCCTGGACAATGGGAGGGTCGCGAACGATCTCTTGGCTTTGGTCAACATCTTCCTCCTCGTTGTCGTCGACCTCCTCAGAAATATTCGTCAAATTCTTGCCACCAGGGCGGTTTCCAACTGCGGTTTTTGTTTTGTTGGCAACGTTGCTAGCCAGATCGGGACCCGGTATTGAGGCAGCTGAATTTCTAGCCGCGCTACCTGCACTCTGCAATGACTCTGACACGGTATATTGAAAGTTTTTTGCTGCCTTACCCATGGTACTTCTTTGGAAATGGAATCTGCTGGCCCTGTCGTGCAATTCTGATTCAGTCAGTGGGAAGGTCACGTTGCCCTCTTGGACATCTCTCAGTGTGTCTTGATAGTCAACTTTGTACTGATGATTGATGGGTACCTGTGCCTTTCTTGCCAAAACAACTCGCTTGATGAGTACTGCTGATAGTTCATGTGGATCCAACTTTTCCTCTTCTTCTGGATCCAAAATTGGGATTTGGCTCATTGCCCCTTTGCAGTGTTTGATTCAAAATCAAGTGAGCTGTTTTGTGAGAAAACCCGTTTACAGCCAAGCAACGACACCTACCGGAATCCATGATAACTCGACCCATTGATGAGAAAGTGTTGACTATGTGAATAAGCAGGATTGAGGCAACTACACCCAGACCTAAGGAAAGTCCCTGGGGCATTAGGATCACCCAAGTGCAAATAACAACAAGGAAAAATAGATAAATGGCACCTGTAACTGTTGCAGGAGGAACCTCGGTGAGGATTTCAGCACCAGGTGGCATCCTTGCTTCTTGTAGTCGAACATACCAAGGCGACTGGGCAATTGTGCGGCATAGAGCCCTTTGATCGCAAGGGCACAAAGCATTAGAAAGCACAGAAGCTGAGCAGTAATGTAATGGAATTGGAATCACCACAATAGTATACCCTACCTAATGTGCTTCTCAGAACTGTTGTGCGTACACACAGCACGTGCTTTTGTCAGCAAGAGGGCATGGATAAGGCATGTTTCCATTACGAAGGCTGGGTATCTTACCAATGGGGGCATTTTCTTTGCTCAGAGATGAGAATATAGATGTTGCAGTGAAGTTGGCAACAAGGGCAGTAACCGAGAAAAAGATCTACAGTAGCAGCGGCACATGTGAAAAAAGGAAATTCATCGACTCACTGCCCATCATTCAAAAGCCGTGCCATGGCTCATGTCTTCCAGCTATTCTTTCTTACCGCAAAGCAAATGACTACACCAGTCCAATACTCGGCTGATCTGTAGTCTCGTGCAAGGAGTGCTACCCTGATATCATTTCCAGGATCTGAGGGAGTGTAAAGAATGCTGAGCTCGCTGCTGAACAGGAGGGACAGAAACACTGTTGAAGAGGCAAAACGTTGGGTGACAACATTTTTGAGCTCATCTCCATTCTTCTTTGACCACACTATAGTGAGCAAAAATATGGATGATGTGAGTGATGGAATGACCTCGATCCGTTTCTGCGTACCAAAAGAAAGCTGCTGCTTACCCAGATGCCGCCTCCAAGTGTTGCTCAGATCCACAGTGATAAGATATTCCCACGGTGACCTTGTCACACCAAAGAGGAAGGCCATCCATACTGCCAAGCGCCCTTGCATTTTAGCTGTGGCGACGGTGACCCGATGAAAAGTTGAGTGGAGTCGAGTCGGAATGGGATCAAACTTTCTCGGTGGTGTGTACTGGTACTCAGTATTGAGTAGCTGCCGGTCAACTTTGAGCCACTGTACTAGCTAGCTAGCTAGTACATCGTACGAGTACACTGTACTGTATCCAGCTCAACTTATCTATCAAAATGTGACCAGGTACTGGTCAAGGATTTAGCATCTGTTGATACTTAAAGCAAAAGACTTAGAAATGTTAGATACTTAGCTTCCCAGATGTTTCATTTTTGGTAGCATATTTCCAATCTCAGCCACTCGCTTGTCCTTCCGGAGCACCAGGCAGCCCCAGCCACCACCGTAAGGGAATGATGCCCTTCACGAGTATTAAGGACTCTAGCTAGTAGCTGCTTTCGTTCGCATCACACTTTGGCTGTTGGCTGGATTTCGGTAGGCATTAGGCCTTCTCAGAAATCATGGTAAGTCAGATACCGGTAGTTATCGTTCGCGTCATCCCCTGCCTGTATCGACTCATTGGCCGGATTGACACCCTCAGCAATCATGGCAATCCATAGTTTGCTGCATTTGATACTACTAGTAGTACTTGTACTAGCTAGGATTGAAACAGATTGTTGCAGCGAGGTACAGAATGGGGACCGCAATCTGGCTATATAGTACTAGCTCTTTGACAGCTTAGTCGACGAAGAAACTATTGCAGCCTTGAAGAAATTCTGCCTGTTGCGAACCTGCTCCCCCACATCGAGCTCAATCCGAAGAGAATGGAGTGATTACGGTTCTCGTGTCCTGCTCCAGCGAACAGCTACAAATACTAAAGCAAAACATGGCAGCCACTTCCCAGCTTCCCAGGGCCAGGAACACCAGCCCTCACCTCGGACACTCGTTAGTGAGGTGGACGATAAAGCGGTATTAATAGCAACTGGAGCCCCGCAGAAAAGAAAAAGATGTTCTTGTGGCCTTACCATGGCGTCTTTGGCCACCATGAGGAATCTGTTTTGCTCCTCATCAGAATCAACTCATGACATGTGCTTCTCTTCACATGGCATTGTACGAGTACTCCATCGTAACGTACTCTCATGTTCAGCTGTTACGCTGGTAGTGCACTGCAGTGGACAAAGAGCAAGCAAGCAAGAGCAGGTACAGTATTAATAGCCGCTATGAGTACATCGGGTACCACCATTATTTCAAGAGACAGCCTGACAGGCTATTCCAAGCTCTGTTCATGAAGTTAATGGTCAAAGCGTCAAAGCCACTGCACCACTGCACACGTACCTGGTACCTGGTACAGTGCTGCATAGCAACACCACATGGATTGACAGCTATTGAGACAATACAAAAACGCTCCGAATAGTCTAGAGTAGCCAGCTGCCTTACTGAAGCCAAGGTGACGAGGCGATGAGACCGGCACAACGGACAGCTACAGTAAAAAAGCATCAGAAAAAGAACTGGCAGCAGCAAGAGCTTGACATCTGCGGCAGCTTCTGCGGCTGAGTTCTGAAAGACTGCTTCGAGAAGCTCTTCGAGATTGCATCGATTCATTCCGTTTTGGTGTTTTGATGCCCGAGTTCTCTTCTCAGGGGTTCTTGGTTGTCATACGATTTTAGCAAAAAGTGACTGAACTAAGTAAGGTTCTTGGTAGGACATTGCAGATTGATTGCCGGTACTAGCTAGTAATCACGCAAAGAAGTTACACGGTCTGGGTTGTTGGGTAAACAGCATGCACCTGGCTTCTTAAAACCAGGTGGAAAAACGGTTTTTTGAAAACGTTGATAAATAATCCACAATTTTCTTCTTTTTTCCGAAATTTTTCCATGTTTTCTCAAACCTTACAAGATGAAAACTGGAGTTTTAAAATCGAGATCCTATGCATACGGTACTTTCTGACTTTCTGTGTTTGCATGCCACGTAAGTTTTACCCAAGGACCCTGAAGAGACAACTATCTGCTGTCTGGATCATCTTGATGACCGTGCTACATGTATGTGCTATCTCTACCCTACTGTAAGCTGGCCACGCTCCACGATCATCGGCAAAAAATCAGCAAGAAGCGGCCTGCGGCTTTGTTATCGACCTCGAAGGTTTCAAGGAGTTTGGAACTCAAAGGACTTCACTTTTAAACTTGAACAGCATTAATTTTGATAGTGGCCAGGAGGAGCAGTTGAACTTAAGGCATTTGCAAAATTTAATGATCTATAGATGTGCACTTCTCTTTTCTCTTACTATTACAGCTACTATTACTAGTACAGTACCGGCACCGGTACCAATGAGGGTGGCCAGAAGAGCCTCCAGGAGAACACCCTCCCTGCATACCAGTACTAGCTAGTACGCTTATTAATAAAATACAAAGCAACAAAGCAACTCAGAACTTGGAGTACAGTATGTCAGTATGTCCTTAATTAGGCCTATTAATAGCTGACATGGTGTTCCACTGAGGAATGTGCCTCGCGCCCTTTTTCACACTTTTCATTGTCCTTTTCACAAATAATGCGAACCATCTTGCCAGTATGGTTATTAGTAAGTATCATCCCTAATTCCTTTTGTCCCTCTTCCGTAGCCATCCACAGCAGCTGTAAGCATCATCCAACTCTTTAGAACAGTCCATCCAAGCATGACTGGTCTCACTGGTGACCACTATTAATACCGTAAAGGCCAACCCAGTTACTTTTTGACCAGAAGAAACGCTGCCATCACAAAAGTCTGAAAGGCCCCCCACCAATCCTGAAAATCTGCTACGGTTAGTTGTTTTGAAGTTTGAAGTACCGTTCACAACTTTGCAGTTTCCAAGCGATACATACTTGTCGACCAACACCATTCCTATTTATCTGCTGAGAACACAGTATCAGCTCCTTTCCCAGCTATCCAGTTAGTTAGTTTATTCATAGAGACGATGACAGCTGCCGTTCAAGTTCCACCCAACGATCTGCTGGATCTGGAGGCCACACATTCGATGCTTCGCTTACCGGTAGATGGCAACACCCCAGCAGGCGACGGCCTATTAATTGGAGGAGGAGCCAGCGATCAAGTATCAGAACCTGGCCTGTACGACAGCGACCCTTGCTTGTTGAATGATGACAGCAGCAGCTGTCACGACGTAGATGACGACAACAAGCCAGAGCAAGACAAAGAGCTGCAAACGTACAGCCACGCCGACTTGCAGGCATTGAATCTGCTGGATCAACCCGTCTGGATCTTTGACATTGTCCGAAGAGGCATGTGGTGGGCCAACCACGCCGCTGTGGAACTATGGAGTGCCCCTGATCTCAAGACCCTGTTGGCACGGGACTTTGCCAGTGACATGAGTGAATCCACCGCAAACCGTCTCGACGACTACCTGCTCAAGTTCTCCTCCAAGGACGAAGTCGTCAAGGATCGATGGACCTTTTACCCCAACGGAGGCAAGTACGGTCCCAAGACGGTCGACTGTACCTTTCGAGGAATCATGATTGAAGAAGGACGATTGGCCATGCTGTCACAGGGAGTCTTCGTCAATGATCAACAACGAACCGAAGCCGAACAGCAAGCACTGCGAGCTTCCGAGATGCTGCGCCATTTGCCCGTGGCGGTCTGTCTCACGGATCTAGAGGGAAACGTCATGGAGCAGAACCCGGAAGCGCTCAAGGTCTTTGGATCCTTGGATACTGGCAACAATAAGGAAGACAACAACAATACCACCAAGACTCGTGATGATGAGTACGACTCGGACTCGGATGACGATGAAGACGAGTTGGAAAAGGCCGATGAATCCACCTTTGTCAAGCGATTCGTAGACAAGGATCTGGGACGTCGTATCCTCAACGAAGCCGCCAAGACTGGTGATGACAATGGCAAGAACGTCATTCGACTCGAGGCTTTGCAGCACACGGTGCATGGACCCCGCTGGTCCGCCATTCAAGTCCGTCAAACCAAAGATCCCGTCACTTCCAAGCCCATTCTACTCTACTCCGCAAGAGACATTACCGCCGTCGTCGAAGCCAAGAGACAAGCCACGGCAGCCGATCTGGCCAAGATGGATCTATTGACAGACATGGCACATGCCGTCCGAACGCCATTGCAACATGTTGTGGGAGTTGTGGAACTCATTAGTCGACAAGGACAGAGCAAATGCCAGGCACAACAGCAAGAAGAAACACGATTTGGCAATCTGCTACAGTCTGCCGCTCAACTCCTCATGAATGTCATTAATGATCTCATGGTCAATGTTGGCGGTGGGTCGTCATTACTGTTGCCAGGTGCCAGCCCGTCCGACCAAAACAAGAATGTTATGGTCAACAAACCGGCGAACCGCATCCTGCTCGAACATACACAAATTGATGTGCGAAAAGTAGTGGAGAATGCCATTGGCACCATTACACCACAAGCCGATGTCAAGAACTTGACATTCAACGTACAAATGACACGCAATAACATGTCTTCATTGATGGGCGATGCCAAACGGTTGGGTCAGGTTCTCTTTGAGATGCTTCACAAGTAAGTGCTCCCATGATCAAAGCTCCACTCCCTGACATCATGTATGCATCGGATCTTGGTGCTAACCTTCTCCTTTCTTGCTCTCCTCCTCCTCAGTGCCGTCAAGTACACTAGCACGGGCGGAATCACCGTCAAGGTCCGGCGGCACACCAAAAAGTCACGATCTCGAAGAGTCCTTCTCCGTTTTGAAGTGACTGATACTGGCGTCGGCCTCAACCTGGAACAGCAAAAGCAGTGCCTTCAGGTACCCGAGTCGTCAGCCAACAACAGCGCCCAAGAAAAGGGTGTTGGGCTGGTGCTCTGCAAGTCACTGGTGGAGGCCATGGGTGGCACCATTGGGGTAGACTCGAAACCGGGTCGTGGGTCGACCTTCTGGTTCGAGATCCCGTTCCTTCGTGCTGCCTCTCAAGCTCCTGTGGGTACCAAGATGCTTCCTCCCAAGCAATCCAAAAAGTGCAAAAGAGCGAGCGATCGCAGTGTTGGAAGCATAGGTTCCTTGTCGTTGGATCCTGTCCCGGACGAGGGTGGCCTCCAGATCTTGCTGGTAGATGAAAACAATGCCGGGAGGAATGTGATGACAGCCCTATTGGAACAGTCGGGTCACAGAGTGACAACGGCGGACACTGGGGATGATATGGTATCTGCAGTCTCACAAGGCTCATTTGATGTGGTGCTGCTAGAAGCGCAGCTGGGCAGTGATGGAGGCACCACTGCGTTGGATGCCGTACAGCAGATCCGAAAAGCAGGCCACTCGGTCGAGAACCTGCCCATACTGGCATTGACCGCCGCTGTCCCAAGGGCTGACTATCCCGAACTCGGCCTTAACGACTGGCTCACCAAACCAATACTGATGAAGGATATCAAGACGGCCATGACAAATGCAATCTGTAACGTCGGCGCAAGTTCGGTGGGTGCCGGGAGCGTCTGCACAGGGGAGTCAAGTCTGGCGACAGGTGAATCTGGGAGAGCGAAGATCAAAACAGTTTCAGCTATCCCGCAGAGATCTTCACTGCTGTTGTCTTGTCACTCGGCCTTCTCTGATCAGCTCCAAGCTGTGATGGGATCCTCGAGTAATCACAAGTCTATCGGCGAGAACACTGCTCATGCGTCTTGTGCCACATCCTCGCTCTCGCAGGCATCATCTGCGTCCTCATCACGTATTCGCCAGCACTCGGCCACGAAACCAAAGACGGACAGGCCGCCAAGGATGCTGCGAAGGTCTGTGGCACCATGATAGCCAAAGTGAAGGCACCAGAAGCAGAGTATCGCTATCATAGCTTGTCCATTGTAACATAAAACAACTTTATCTATTGGGAAAGATACATTCATTCATGAAGAGTGCTTACATGTAGTTTAATTCAGGTCGAAGGTGACCTTGAAAGTGAAAACGAAGTCTTGTTCTTTTTTACAACTGGGTGTCGGTGTGTCGATCTACGAGCTAGTCGTGCTTGCCAGCTTGGCTTCCTTGCTTTTCCGCCTGTACTCATCCATCTGCTTTTTGAAATACTCCAATCGCTCCTTGCCGTCGTTAGGCCATTGGACTGCTTCGTCCTTGCTAACACCAGTGCTCACAACGAAGCGTTTGAAAGGCTTGCCTTCATTCTCCATCTTCCCAAGGAGCATTCTCATGAAACCACTGTGCCCCTGAACAACCGTGTCGCACTTAGATGCTAGCGCAAATTCTGTGTAGATGGATAGAACTTCGAATGCGCCGTCACTCGAAGGTACATGGCTTTGCCAGCCTCCGTCCACTCCACGCGTACGTGGTCTGTTCAGGTAGACCCAGTTGTAGTCACCACGATGGTGTTCGTTGATCTCGTCAATGGTACTTGCATCATCTGTGAGCAACATGATGTTGGCTCCATCTTCAACATAGCCAGCATCGAGATATTCTTGGACTGCGGCATATCGCCGGAATGGTTGCCTGGGAAAGCCCGCGTCTGGGTTCATGGGACAGACGATTAGAAACAAAAGCCTCGAAACATCTCGAAACATCTCAAAACAAACACGAAGCATTATCTTACCTCCTCTGCGAATGTGGATGGTAACGCAGGGTTGTGGAAGGTTCAAAGATTCTCTCATTTCGAGCAGCTGGCGTCTCATTATCTGCTTGGGTCTGAACAGATACTCCCTGAGCCATTCGTATTCCTTCTTGGTTTGGGGATCTCTACCGGGCTTAGTCCATTCGCGTTCTTGCCTTGTGGTCTGACGCGGACAAGACGAAATCGGCAAGAAGTAACCTATGGGAAAAGCGAGAACAATATTCAGGTTTTTGCAACGAACCGAGGGTGTGAATGAAAACGAAGCACCGAGCCTTACATGTAATGTCATGATCATCACAGTAGGCCCAGCTTGAGTTGTCAGTGGGGCCATAGAGCCAGTCTCGTTCGGGGGCGTTGATCTGGAAAGGTGTTCCCTTTTGATGGGCCTTCAAGAATGCGTACGCCAACCAACTGGTCGAAGCCCCAAAGCCAGAGTTGATCTGCCAAGCATTCACTGCGGTGGAGCAGTTTCCCGACCACTGAACTTCGTGTAAACGCCGAAGGAAACTGGCTTTCTCCTTGTTCTGCATTGGTGAGAAACAGAAGGAAGTTGAGTTTTCCACTGAGACTTCAAAGTCCGGTGAATGTTGCCACCATTTGTCGGCATCAATGTCCCAACTACCACAACAAGAGGTACCATTGGCGCTTTCTTGGCAGTTCAGAGGGTTGGCAACAGCAATTGCGTTGGAGACTGCCGCTTTCCTGGTCTTGTCGTGGGATTGCCTCCCCCTTCCGTTGCCTTGGTGCCTTTTCCCACTTTCTCGGCCTGTCTTCTTGGCCTTACCCTGGCTTGCCTCGCTACTGTCGTCTCTGCTGTCGTCTTCATCTTCGCTATCTTCGCTGTCATCTTCGTCGTCGTCCTTTAGTTTGGCATTGTGTTTGTCAGCTTCTTCTCGCTTGGTTTCAATATCCTTGAGTAAGCTGGCCGCTCTCTCCTTTGGATTGCCTTGAAAAGATTTTGCCTCCTCTTTGGTCACCGTTGTGTCTACATAGTAGAGCGCAACGTCCCTCCCTTGCGTGATCTGGTTTTGCAGGAAAGCTTTCATGAAACCAGAGTAGCCATAGACAACCTTGTTACACTTAGACGCAAGCTTCAACTCTGTATCTATCGCCAACATCTCAAATTCTCCCTTCCCACTGGGGATGTGCCCATTCCACCCTGAAGCGAAGTCAAATGTGAACCACAGCAAGGTTCAAATCAGTGACCGTCAAACGAAAACACGGTCAATCAACAAAGAAAACCGAAAACGTACCACCAGACGACCCGTGGTTCCTAGGCCGATCAAGATAGATCCAGTTGTACATTGGATGGTGTTCTTTGACTTCGTCGATGGTGCTTTGATCGTCGGTTAGCAAGAGAATGTTGTCACCCTCTTGGACACTTGCAGCATCAAGGTACTCTTGAACGGCAGCATATCGTCTGAATGGGGGCCTCGGCAAACCTGCATACAAACAGCAAGAGTTCAGGATACATCTGAAGTCTCTAGCATCAAGTTCGCAAAGGCAATACTCACCAGAATCGCCGCGTCGAACATGCATCATGGTACATGGATATTCCATAGCAACTTGTTGACGCATCTCATATGCCTTGCGCCGGAACACCTGACGAGGACGCAGCATATAGTCTCTCAGCCACATGCCCTCTTCTACTTCCTTTGTATCCTTTTTTGGTTTCCACCACTTTCGATCATCCTGGTTAAAGCCATCCCTTGAGCATGGGGACACCGGCAGAGAATAGCAGGTGATGTCTTCATCTTCACAGTAAGCCCAGCTCGACTTGTTTTTGGCTGCATACATCCAGTGCCAATTACTTCTTGCAATTTGGAAGTGCTTCTTCAAGACGTGGGCATGCCAAAAGGAATTGGCCAGCCAAGACCAGCTAGCTCCCACACCAGAATTTATTTCAGAGCTCCTTTCCATGTCGGAGCAATTCACGTTGATCCATTGTCGATCATGTATTTCACGCATAACCCTTGCTTTCTCCATGTTGGCCATTGGTGAGAAGCAATAAGAAGTGTCATTCTCCAAGCTCACTTCCCAGTCTGGCCGAGCATGCCACCAGCCATCTGCTTCCACATCCCACGGAGCACAGCATGTTGGCCTGCCGGAGACATTCTGGCATGTCATAAGATCAGAAACGTTTGCCTCAAACAGTGGGAAAGAATTGGTCAACTCGATCGCAGCATTTGGATTCCCCTGTTCGTGCAACTTCTTGTCACCTTTGTTGCCTGAGTTTCCTTGCTTGCTTGATCTAGAAATCTCTGCCTGGGACTGGGACGAGGATGACTCTTTCTGCGCCAGAGGATTGGGAGTGGTTGACGTCTTGTTTTGGTACAAGGCTTCGATCTCAGCCAGAAAGGTTTCAACTCTTGCATCGCGGCTTGAAAACTTTCGTGCCTCCTCCTTTGAAACCGTTGTGTCGAGGTAGTACCTCGTATAGTTTTTCCCTGAGGAGGATCACAGTGAGGTTCTGTCCTAGTAGAGGCAACATAGGATGATCCACGAACACCTGCACTTACCTTCGAGATCAAGTGTTTCAATTAAAGATTTCATGAACCCGCTGTTGCCGTATACAAGCTTGTCACAAGATTGGGCCAGGCGAAGCTCTGTTTCAATGACGAGCATTTCGTAGCCTGGATCGGATGCCGCCGGAACGTGTCCATCGAAACCATTCTTGATTCCATCGTTGCGTGGACGATCGATATAGATCCAAGTGTAATTCGGCAAATGCTTGTTGATTTCATCAATTGTGCTCTGATCATCCGTCATCAAGAATACATTATCCCCCTCTTTTATGCGAGCTTTATCAATGTACTCTTGCACTGCAGCATACCGCCTAAAGGGCGGCCTTGGGAAGCCCACATCTATCAGTTTCATTGGTCAGAAGATTTCATAAAGCAAGTCTCAAAAACAACACAGCAAGCAATGCAGGATCTTACGCACCTCCACGTCGAACGTGCATAGTCGCACATGGTTGCTCCAGAGGTATTGACTCTCTCATTTCAAGAAGCTTGCGGCGGAAATGCTGTCTTGGACGTGTCATGTACGTGCGAAGCCAGTGGTACTGTTCTTTTTCTCGGTTGGATCCATTGGGTTTCTGACCCTGGTGCTCTCCGCGAATGGTCTCTTCACGGGAACAACTGGATATCGGTAGCCAATAACACCGCGTATCTTTTGTGTCACAATATGCCCAACTGGACTCGTCCTTGGTGGAATATAGCCACACTCGGTTGCCATTTACAATTTGAAACGGTTTGCCCTGCTTGTGAGCATGCCAAAAGGCTTGATTGAGCCAGGTTGTACTGGCTCCATAGCCAGAGTTCATTTCCACCGACTTTTCCACCTGGGAACAGTTTCCATTCCACTGGACTTCATGGACCATTTTCAAGAATGATGCCTTTCTTTGGTCTTTCATGGGTGCAAAACAGAAACTGTCCTTGGTTTCGGAACTCACTTCCCAATCCGGGTGCTGTAGCCACCACTCGTCGGCATTCACATCCCAGGTGCCACAGCACTCGAAATTGTCCTGGAAAGTGCAGACAACGGGGCTTGCCCCTGGACTCGGCTTGACAAGATCTGTGAAGGTGCTGGAAGTCGAGCTGTCTTTGTCGCTTGAGGTGGCAGGCACTTCTCTGCTAGTAGCGTCAGGAGCATTATCAGAGCTGTTGTTTGGAGATTCGGTTGCCTTTTCTTCATCGGGAATGTTGCTCTGGGTTGTTTCGTTGACACTTGAAGCTGCCTGATCGTCCACAGCTTTCAGGTGCCTCTGCTTGGATGGGGCTTTGGTATTATTCGACACGTCAATATCCTCGGTGGCAACGGCCTGGTGAGGCTGGATGCTGTCATCCACCGTTTCCGTCTCCTCTATAAAGACTTTAGCCCAATCGTTTCCATTAAACGTATACATTTGTGCAATCACCAAACTAAAGGCAAGCCATGAAGCAAATGTTTGGAAGGACGTTCGCTTTCGAGGCCGTGGTTTGGCCATGGCAGCGGCCTCGGGTTTCTTGTTGTTGCTTCCTTCTACCATTCTCTGCTCTCTGAATCTGACAATACTTTGTGCCAAGTGCGTACACTCTAGCTACCGTAGTGGAGCGATCCGATGATTCGATTCATTCATTCTAATCTGGCGGGCAACCATTCCAAAGGACCAGGCACAAAAGTGAGCATCTGGCAGCAAAATGTGAGAGGAAAAGATCGCAAAAACAACGGGCGTTACCTTGGAAACTAAAACGCACAGTTGCTCTTACCAAAATCTCAAACGGGTTCTTCTTTTTTTCGAGAGGAGGTGTCCTGTGATGCACACAACTTTATGTGTACTGGTACATGTACATCGTACATGTACATGTAGTCTAATAGTTCCACGTTGCGTGAAACTGGGTGAAACCCTGCGTGAAACTAACGGTTCTGCGTGAAACTAACCGTTAGTTTCACGCAGACTTGTTCATGTAAGTCCCATTTCCGCTACTGCATGGAGCCCCTTCTGTTCGAGCCAACTCGCTCGGACGAATCGAATCGAATCGAATCACATCGAATGATTCAATCGCCTTGTCATTTTTTTCATGATCTCATCATGCATCATCCAAGATACAATCAAAGCATCTCGTTCCATTCCTTGTCATGCACACTGCTTGATTTCTCAGACTCGCTGTCCATGAGGGTAGATGCTACAGTAGTACCGGTAGAGCCAAATTCGAGAGCTTGGGACGCTTTGCCATTTGCCATCGATGCTCCATCGCCAAGGATTTGATTCGTCATTGGTTCGAATTCGGCTGTCCAGGCCGCGTGATTCAGCTAAGTGGAACGCTGAACGATTTAATTCGTTTGCTGAGTTGAGTTGACGTTCATGATGGCAGAATAAGTACTTTCGATAGGATACTACTGTGGCAGCCAAGAAGACATTTTTTTGAGGCTCTCTGAAGGATTATCCCAAATTGATGCTGCTGGCACGGTCGGTACCCCAATGCAACGACGACTGTTTCGAATATCATCCTCTGCTTCAGTGGGGGGAACTCAGCTCTCTCCAGCATTTATTTGCTTGGGGCTTTGGGTTGCGCTACCGGTGCCATCTTGACGCGGCAGTTCTTCTGCTCGTCTTGTTTGAGCCGCCCAGTTACCTTCTTTGCTGGCTTATCCAGAACGAAAATTTACACACGGTTTCCCATGTTGCATTCCCATTTGACCAATTATTTTAGAGGGCTCTTCAGTTGGGTGCTACCTACGTGAAAAACCTACCAAGCGCTACGTACTCCTCCAATATCCCTCGCCAAACAAGAAGAGCAGCAAACTCAAAATCAAGTCAATTCAATTCCAAGCAATACAATTTATTTGGATTGTCAATTTTATTACCTCAATCAACCATGGACGACGACGACGACGAGACAACACAAAAGAGCCATGACGGCGGGTCCGCAAAAAAACGCCAAGGGCGGCCCAGTAACTCTATCGTTTGGGAAAATGTTCATTTGGAGTCGATTGAATTGGATGACGGTACCACCACGGTGATGCAGCAGACATGCGTCCATTGCAACAAAGTCAATAGGGCCAATAAACCGCAAACGACATGGTGGGCGGTCCATCTGGTCGATCGGGGTCCCAAGGGATGTCCCAAAGCGCCCAATTCAGTGCGGCATGCCATTCTAAATACCACCAGTTCGCAGCAAGTGCGTGACGCTGGAATGGGATTGATGACCAACCACACCGCTGCAAGCCAGAGCAACAAGCAAAAAGGACGCAAGGGAATGCCGCCAATCCCCATTGCGGGAGTCAAACGAGGGCTCTCCAAGTTGCTAGAGGACAATATTGTCGTGGAACAAGTATCGGATGGAAACATTTCTCAGACATGTCGTCACTGCAAGAAGAACAGAACCTGCAAACAGACCCTGGCAACGGTCTGGTCCAAGCATTTTGTCGATATTTCGGCCAAAGGATGTCCTGGTAGGTTGCCACTAACTTCGTACTTGTTTGTGTCTACCGGATCGTAGTTTGTGCTCTCTTCTTGTTTTCTCACTTGTTTTCTTACTTGCCCCCTCTTTCCCTTTTTTTCGCTTCCGTTCTCAGATGCGCCTTTCTATGTCCGGCGTGCCATTGCGGCAGAATCGAGTTCGGCCGAGGTCAAGCGATTGGCGGAATCACAGGGCTGGCTCGTGGAAGTACAAGGCAATGCCTACAGCAACAGTCCCGGCGTCACTGTCAACCAGAACAGGAGCGCCGAGGAGGACGACCAAAAGCCACGGACTCCAAAGCGAGCCAAGACTAATAATGATACCTGTTCCGAACCATTGGATGGATGCTGTCAGGCTCAGGCAGACAGTATCTCCATGAAGATCATGGAGTTCTTGTCGGCATGTGGGCACTCCATGTTGTTGATCCAGTCACCCGTCTTTTTGGATCTCCTCCGGTCCCTCAACCAGGCCTATGTGGACAGGTACCTGGGCAAGGCAGATGTCTTTGTCAAGACATGGCTCCCCAAACTATTTCAATCCGTACAGGTACAACTTGAGAATCTCTGGAACGATCAGCAACGAAAACAGCAAGCCTTGGCAACGCTGGGATTGTGGGGAGCTGGTAAGCAGCATTCGTCCTCTTCAGGTCCCACGGGCAAAATTTTCACGGAAACCCTCCAAGAGAACAAGATTGCCTTTTGGGGCACTGTCACGGGGGAAAGCGAAGAAGGTGTGACCGCCAGTGGAGTTGCACAACTATTGGCCAGCCACATGATTTCCAAGGCAGAAGGGGATGAAAGCAAGGTGACGGATACCTATGGTGCTGTCGTCGTGACCACGGACGATGAGTTGAACGCACAGGTTGGGAACATTCTCCAGGAGCGATTCCCCTTGTTGTTTGTCAATCGGTGCCGTTTGCAGACCATTTTGGAGATCCGGGATGGAATCTTTGCCATCCCCGAGATTGCTCGAGCGTATTCCGATGCCCAATTCATTGCTCATTTCATTCGAGACCATCCCGCAGTGTCCGAAGCTTACCATCACGCCAATCATGCATCGGGAGAAAGCATGCCAGTGCCCGCCGCAAGTCAAGACTTTGAACAGGTCATGGAGCTGATGGAGTCTGTCGTCGGTATCGGAGGAAATCATGAACACGGCGACAAACATAATATCAACACGGAACGGTTTCTCGCACTCACTCGAGATAACCCATTGGTTTCTGCAAGCACCGAAACCGGACCGGTTGACCCTCAATTGGTGCAACGATTTGAAGCACTCGTCTCGAATGCCAACACTTTTGCGAGGTTCCAAGCACTGGGCAAGCTCCTGCGACCTCTTGCCTTGTTTGAAAAGCATCTGCAGAGACCCGACGTTCGTGCCTCTTGGATCTACCCCGTCTTTCATGCACTCTTGCTGGATGTCAAAGAGTGGTGCAGCAGCGAAGATGTCAAACTGGCCTTTCCAGAGGAAGAGACCTTTGACCAGTTGTTGAATGGTACCCTCCAACGCTGTTGGCGTGGCGAACCAGGGCGCCCTGGTCTGTTCTCTCCTCAACTTCTAATGGCCATGCTCTTGGATCCGACCACTTGCCCGAATTCAGACAACCTGCCCGATGATTGGGACAACGACAGCGAAGAGGTGCTGAAACGGTTCTATAGTGGAAAGCAACTGCTGGATGCGCAGGCAGAACTCATGACCTTATTGGACCACCAAGGCAAGTTTGGTCGTGAGGTGGATCGCTATCAAGAGGCACTCAAGACAGTTGCCCCATTTGCATCACACTGTCGATTAAATGTTCAGCAAGTTGTGGATCGGCAAATGCCGGCAGTAGACATGAAGCCTCATCTTGCATGGAAGCTGAGTCTGAAGAGTTCCTTTCCTCTCCTGCGGCCGATTGCCTCTCGTGTGTTGGTGATGGGTTCTGCCTCGGTTGAGACTGGGTGGGCGAGCAAACTGGACAAGGCGCTAAATTCTATTGGCGCTCACCATCAGGCAAGTCCAGTACTGGCCGAGAACACAGTGCTCATGCTGCTTTACTGTCATTTGAACCTACGATCGATTCAGCGCAGCAAGTCCTCTGACCACGACGCTGGCATTTTGGGGATTTCCTCGTTTGAAGAGTTTTTGGGTCAAGCCCTTTTGGACAACACAGACGCACCAATGCCAGTCGTCGAGCAGAGCGACTGTTGTGCCGGTGCCGGTGGGTGTCATGACAAACCCGATAGTGGGTTCAAACTTGACGAATGCGGTGATGGCTGCTGCTAGCTCTAGAAGATACACGTTTCTTTCATTTCATACTGTAGTTCAGGATCTGTTTTCTCAGAACGTCTGTTGCAACTTGGGTGTGCCCCTTTGGCCCAATGTTGCGAGGGTGCTATGGCTGACTGCATGAGAAGCTCATCTCTTGGTCCAACAACGATCGGTAGCTAGCACCACTCCGTAGCAACCAGTAGCTTGCTTCGGAATTCACGTTCGATACGCGGCTACTAGTACCAACATCGTGTCTCATGTGGCTTCGAGATCACTATTAGTAGCTAGATTCATTGTTGGCGCCGGTAGATTGCGCTACCTAGTGTGCCACTATGGTGGTTGTTACTTCTAGTGCCATATCCACATTCCAAACATGCACTTCCGGCAGGCATTGGCGTTTCTTGGGTACTCGCCGCGTCGTCGACATGCATGTACAGTTGGCTAGAAGACTACGAATTTCAGAGCTGTGTGTGTGATAGATAGCCAGCACCATTCAATGTTGTTGTTGTTTTCTTTTTTAATCCCCGTACAGCAACCCCTGCTGTTTGTGCCAATCTGGTTTTGCCAACGTACCGTACCTACCGGTACGTAAAAGGGAGCGATGATCGAGTCAAGGCGAGTACAGTCGTATCACTTTCGACTGAATCGAGGATTGTACTGATCCTGATAATATCGTTGTTGCGACGGCATGTGTCCCGTGGCTTCTCGAATGACAGCCTGTTCTCGTAGCTTTTCCCTTTGTTCCCGTTCCAGGCGTCGTTTTCGGAGCGCCGCCATCTCGTCGCAGGTTGGTTCTTCCTTTTTGTGCTTTTTCTTGTGTTTTCGTTTCCGTCGTTCGTGGCTGCTACTGCTCGAGTCGTCGGCATGGCGCCGCCTTTTTCGATGTTTGGATTTGTTGAATCGTTTGGATTTTTGGTGTTGCTTCCGATCACTATTGTCATGATCGTGGGGATTCCAAAAGACATGACTGTTTTGTGTATTGGTGGTGGCTGCAGCTGCACCAGAGGATGGTTCTGTAAAATCCTTCATGGGGTCCAATTGCTTCTTTCGTTTGTCTATTTTTTGCTGGTACGACGGCCTGGATTCCTTCTCTTGCTGCTTTTCTATTCGCATCCGTTGCCGTTCGACAGATTCTCCCAGAAACACGGGCAAAATTCCCGACTTCTTCTGCTGTTGCTGTGATCCTTGTGAAGTACCTTCTCGACAGAATTCTTGTTCTTCTTTTTCAAACAGATTGAATCGCTGTGGCTGTTCTTTTTCTGGATTGTCGTCTTCTGCATCTTGCTGTTGTTCCACTCGTTGCTGTTTCAGAAGTTTCCATCGTTCCTGGGATTCCTTTCGCTGTGCCGCTTCCTGTTCCTCTTCTTGTCGCTCCCGTTCCAAACGCTCATCCCGCAACACGCGCTCCACATTCTGGGGATTCCACGGACAATACGTCTTCTTTGGGAGAATCACAAGGCGACCCGACATGGTGGTGTTCAGTATCCACAGCTAGCTAGCTACGGTAGCTGGGTGGCGTCTGCAGCAACGATCAGGGCACTTGGATCATGGTGCACTGGCTGCATGCATAATAATAAATAAATAAATAAATAAATATAGCTGAATTGAATTCGATCTTTTAAAGCTAGTAATCGAATTATTCGGAAGAAAGAGGATCCGAAAGAACCAAGCACATTCGTTGTGTGATTGATAAAACTGCATGACGACCCCGCCTGTGGTGGTGGTTGGTCCTGTGCGTACCGGTACAGTACGGTACTACCGGTACCGTACAGTGTCCCGCGCTGCATACGGTACTCGCGCGCTTCTTGCTTGGCGGTTGCGCGGCACGGCACTGGCTAAAGCGAGCTGGTGAGAGACCTCCGGTTTACGATAATAATTATGGCAACATATTCAATGGCATCTCCCATTTTCGGATGCTCTGGGACCATTCGAGTACTCAATGTTGCACAGTCGAAACGATCCACTATAGCCCAGGTCATCGTTTTTGGTCGCATGCAACCAGTAATAATCATGCAATGACTAGTAAGTACTATTAATACTAGTATGCCATTCCCATCATTAAGAAAGCAGCTCATGAAATACATGTTCATACGTTCATACGTCTCTATGTTAAAAGCCCGAGACTACTAGGTCATCTCCAGCGCATAAGAGTGAGCCCTAAGCCCTACCAGCACGATCCGTTTCATTCTAAGATGCATTGAGAGAAGAAAACCAAACACTGTTTTGTTAAATAGAAGCGAACACACCGGTATTTGCGTGGCCTGATTCAAAACACTCCTTTTCTTCTCGCCTTTCATTCTCATCACAATCCAAACTTTAGCATCCAAGAAACAACAAAACAAAATGATGAAGTTGAATGCCTTGCTCCTTTTTCTCCTGGCTGCTGGGGCCTCAGCACAGACTTGTACTACAACACCTGCTCCTTCGGTATCATATGGATCATACTTCCAAAGCAACCCACAATGTCACGCGGGTGGAGACGTCACTCCCTTTGGATACAATTATGGTTGGAAGATGGACGGTTGCCAGACAGGTTCTTTCCCTCTTGACCAAGTTGCTGCAGGTTCTGGTAGTGAGATCAAGGGTTCGTGTCCCACAGCTTCCGATATCGTTCTGGTTGTGAATTGTGTTGGTAATACTGCCGATGTTTCGTGGACCGGTACTGGTGCCAATGGTGCGGTGTTGGACATCAAGGTGAAGGGGTCCAATCGGGGTAATCTCTTTGACGGCAGTGTCGCAAACGCCAACGGTGGGAACTATGCTGCACCTGCAAACAATGGTGGTCAAGTTCCGTCCATTAGTCACCTTGAAATCTGTCTCAACTGTCCCGTCTGTACTGATCCGCCAGCGACTGACCCCCCGCCAACTGATGGTAGCGCCGCTGGAGGAGATCCCCACATCAAGACATGGGCAGGAGAATACTTTGACTTTCATGGAGAATGTGATCTTGTCCTGGCCCATGCTAAAAGGTTTGATGGAAAGCAAGACCTTGATATCCATGCTCGAACCACCATCCAATGGGGCAAGTTCTCCTACATTGAATCGGCTGCTGTCAAGATTGGAGAGGATGTTCTCGAAGTGAGCAGTTGGGGAGAGTACTCTCTCAACGGAGTCGACGATGCTCTGCCCAATTCCGATCAAGTCCTGTTTGTCCGCAAGCAAGTCAACGTTGCCACTCTCGGTGGATACCCCATCCACCATGTGGAAGTTGACAACTCCAACAAGAGGCACATCTTTGACATCGTCCTCAATGAGCATGTGAACATTACTGTTTCCTCCATGAAGCATCTTGTCAGTATCAAGATCAACCATTCCGATGAGCGGTACCTCAAGGATGTTGTTGGACTCTTGGGTGATATCCATGGAAACATGTTGGCACGTGATGGTGTCACTTCTTTGCAAGAGGATCCTGTTGCCATGGGATTGGAGTGGCAGGTCCGGGACGATGATGTCAAGCTCTTTGAAACTGACCGTCACCCACAATACCCACAGAAGTGCATCCTTCCAGAGATCACGGCAGAAAGGGAAGCTCGCCGTCTGGGTGAGGGTGTTACCGAAGGGGAGGCCGAGGTTGCCTGTGCCCACCTGCGAAGCAATGCTCATGCTTTTGCAAACTGTGTCTATGATGTGACCGCCATGAATGATCTGGAATTGGCACCAGTGGGCGCCATGTAAATTGTTGCTGCGATAAGCAGTTTTTTAAAAATAAAATCTTTCTACATAAATGAATAAATGCGTGTGTTCTCTACTGTTTTGCGGTATGTTTGTCCCCTGCGGCACAGCAACAGTAGCGTTTGCACGGGCAACCTCGTCAGAGAGTAGAGGAGGCTGTGAGAGAGCTGAGGCACTGAAACACTCGTGAGCGGGGAACCAGAACACAGCTTGGCAGTCAAGCAGTCTTCCAAGAAACGCTCGGGATCGTTTCACCGAGACAGCACATCAACCAAATGTTCGTCGAAGATCAAAGCGAGGAGCCAAAAATGGAACAAGCACTTTCTTCAGGTCGTTTCGCGTACATAGATCTACCTGGCTGCAATGTAGCGCCTCAAGAAGAGTCAGCGTGGATAATTGAGTCCGTCGTGACTGCCATGGTGAGAACAGACAAGTCCAGCCACGCATAGCTGTGGGCAGCAAAGCCGGCCTTCCAACATCCCATCGCATTTGGCCGTGATCGGTCTGGCTAGCTAGACGATTTAAACCAGGGGAGATGTCCGTGACACGACCGTCCAGGATGCCCCAAACGGCAGTCCTCATCAGGAATGCCCCCGGCTAGCCAGGGGCTTGAAAATGGATGGAGGCATTCATTCCGATCGAATCATTCATTCCGCAAAAAGCCTCCTCACATCGAACTATCGGCGCCAATGCTGGCTACCGGTAGCATGCAGCACCTCCAGGTAAATTGGAGCTTAAAATGGGTTGGTACCTATAATTTCAAAACAATTTTGTTTTTGTTGATCCAGGCTTTAAAGCCAATGCTCTTGTAAAAATAAAGCCTACGAACGCTTTACTTCGTTGTTGCCCGAGGATACACAAACTAACTAGAAGTAAGGTAGGCTTGGGAAGCTGGGGGTCACCATATGGATGGAACATGGAACCGACACACAAGGAATCAAACACCTGACAAGCGAGCGTGAGACTGGCCGCAGGCAGTAACTTTCAGGCAGCTCCTCATCCACATTGCAGTACGTTCTTGAGAAGGCCAAGTCTGGGATCCATCATCTATCATCTGCTTTCCAAGGTGGATGGTTGGTTCGATCTTCTACTAGTATTACTACCAGTAGCTAGCTAGCAGTACTCTCTCCGCTGTAGCTGTACCGGAACCGTAGCCTCATCACGGATTCGATTCTTGGTGTCAGTTTTCAGCGGTCATGAAAAAAGCGGCCGCCATCATTGGAACACCATTGTCCGGATGAATTTACAGGGCCCAAGAAAACAGCATTGGTAATAATTTTTTCCCTTCTTTTTCCCACCCGATAAATAAAGGGGGTAATTGGTGGGCAGTGCTCCGCGACCACAAATTTCCAGCATTGACCATGGATGCTTTTCCAATAACACCAATGCCCACATGCACAAACAGTCACCAAGGGAAGGAGTATGTATGTTTCAGTCCGTCTCACAAAATCTCCATGGCTTCATGTCAAACTTTGTTCCTGAATGAGTCCAGTCGATTCATTCATTCAACAATCCATGCATCATCTTATTATCCTTCGCGCAATGACAGCGTAACCCAACAGCAGCGGTGAGAGCTACAACTGAAATGAGAGCTACTGTACAACCGAGCTGAGTGCTGGATCTGCCTGATGAAGTCTGAAGCCTGGAGTACGGTAGTTGAGAGCTTGGATGTGTCCAATGGAAAGCGCGGAACTCAACGGCCATTCCCCAATGATTCGATTCGATTCCTAGACACTACCGGTATCGCAAAGCATTCTCTGATCAATTCAAGCGGTACATGTACTGTACAGTACGAACTGGCCAATTGAGAATTGAGTGGTCGCTGAGCTTCAATGATGAGTGATTCAATTCTAGCTAGTTGCGTTTTGACAGCCAGCAACAACGTCGTGCAATGCAAACCTGGACTTGATCCCATCACTGGAACGTTTTAGACTACTCCGAGCATTGGCCGCTCCATACCATACTGAGTGCGCTGGTTCTCGCAGTACAAGCTTGAGATAGTGCGCTCTCCTCGTTCCGCTTCAAACTTTGAACTTCAGATGCATTTGACACTACTCGAGTACGATGTACTGTAGCAGTAATAATTTTCGACGGGGGCATAGCACAACTACCAAACCCCTTCAACTGGGACTCTAATAAGCATCGTGAACCAGCCAGTCGGTGTGCATTTTTTCGAAACTCTAATTCCTGCCTCCATTCCACTGAAACAAAAAAAGCAATCGTTAAATGCAATCTTCTACCACACTGATTCCCGAGTCACTACGCTTAGTACTATCACCCACAGTGGGCTTAACAGTGCCTTTTTCTTTCCCGAGTAAAGAGGTTTTCGCATTACGCATACATAAGCTTACAATCTCTCACGCTGCGACATAGCAATGCGTGTTTCAAAAGTAGCCTGGTGGTCTGGTGGTCATCTCACCGGTACCCGGAGACCTCTCAGAGTACAGTACCCCACCGTTCCGACAGGTCGCCTTTTTGCGCTGGAAGCCGACAACCCTACCAAATGAGCTCACAAATTTGGATCATCATCCAACTAAAACGGTGTCTTGCATCTCCCTTTGTGCTGTAGAGCTACTCGATCGTAAAGATGAACTTTGGAAAACACATCTTCTCCCTTGTCATGGCTGGTCTCCTCGCCACCGGAGTGACAGCCAACACTTGTCCCGTTGATTCTGCTCCTGCAGTATCGTATGGATCATACTCAGACAACCCTCAATGTCATTCCGGTGGAGACGTCAATCCCTTTGGATACAATTATGGTTGGAAGATGGCCGGTTGCCAGCCTGGTTCTTTCCCTCTTACCCAAGTTGCTGCAGGTACTGGTAGTGAGATCAAGGGTTCGTGTCCCACAGCTTCCGATATCGTTCTGCTTGTGGATTGTGTTGGTAATGCTGCCTATATTTCGTGGACCGGTAGTGGTGCCAACGGTGCGGTGTTGGACATCAAGGTGAAGGGGGCCAATGGGGGTAATCTCTTTGACGGCACTGCCCCATCCGCCAACGGTGGGATCCTGTATGGTGCACCTTCAAACAATGGTGGAAATTTTCCAGAAATTAGTCACATTGAAATCTGTCTCAACTGTCCCGTCTGTCCGACAAACCCTCCGCCAACCGATCCCATCACAAACCCTCCGCCAACCGATCCCATCACAAACCCTCCCCCGACTGACCCAATCACAAACCCTCCCCCAACTGGTGTCGATGGGGATCCTCACGTAAAGTCTTGGACTGGCGAACACTTCATTTACATGGGTGAATGGTGAGGTTTATTCTTTTGGGCATGCTTGTGCATCTTCTCCTAAAACTCATCTAACTTTCTGGTTCTGCTCTCCTCCTGCAGTGACCTCAAGCTTATGTCGGTTCCAAAGTTTGATGGTGAACAAGATATTGATGTCCATGCACGTACTACCATCCGATATGATTACAGTTACATTGAGACTGCTGCTATCAGGATCGGCTCTGACACTCTTGAAGTGAGCAGCTGGGGAGAGTATGCTTTGAATGGGGTGGATAATGCCATCTTTAACCAGCAGCCTGCCCTGAGAAAGGGAAATAAGCTGAACACCTTGGGAGGCTATGAAATCTTCCACACTCAGATGAGCAAGAAGAAGCATGTGTTTGATGTTATCCTTGGACCCAATGAAAACATCACCATCAGCAACATGAAGGACATTGTTGCTGTTAGGATCAACCACAAGACCAATGACCACTTCATGAATGTTGAAGGTTTGATGGGTCACATCAACGGAGGAATGTTGGCTCGTGATGGTGTCACTGACTTGCATGATGACATCAATGCCATGGCACAAGAATGGCAAATCAGAGATGATGAGCCAATGCTTTTCCGCTCGGTTCGAGAACCTCAATACCCCGCCAAGTGCCGTCTTCCTGATATCCAGGAAAAGGAATCTCGTCGTCTCAGTGAAGGTATCACTGAAGAAGTTGCCAAGGCTGCCTGTGCTCATTTGAAGGCTGATGCCCAAGCCTTTGCTGACTGTGTTTATGATGTGACTGCCACCAATGACCTCGACATGGCCCAGGCTGGTGTCATGTAAATCTGTGTGCCGAGCCAGCTGGCTTGGTTTTGACAGGCGGTTGCCAGAGCCATTCCAGGTTTAGGTTATGATTTGAAGTTGCCACCATTGCACTGGCCCATGCACTAGTGCCCGAATGGGCTCAGGTGCAGGTCGCAAATGAAAGTATCACATTGGAGACTCGGAGGAGCGCAACAGTGTGGTTGTTGCTTTTAGAAAGAGAATGAAAGATAATTGAAAATAAAAAGAAAACACAAGTTTATTTCTTCTCTGGCTAGCTAGCTAGCCAGCTAGAAGTAGCGAGTTCGTTTCAGGTACATGTAGACTTCTCAGTAATAGTTTTTTGCTTGGTTGGTTGGTTCGGGGTCGAAGCTTCGTCCACTTGATGTGCAATACTAGCTTTAGTTCCAGTATCTGTTAGAGCCCCGCTTGAGATGAGATTGGTCAAGGTTCTACCTGATCCAACCATTGGGATCTGGTCGATCAGGTTTACTCAGTCCACCGGCTAGTTAGCTACTCATGTCAAACACCCAGGTCTCATCACCCAATTGAAAATTATGCGACAATGTAATACTCATGCATTTGTGAAATGGCATCAAAAAGACCACTAGACTATTATAAAATTCTAAGGATGGAATGGAACAGGACAGCGTGGCCTGCTGTGCGGGGAAGAGGACAGGATGGCTTTTGCACCCTAGTCTACTTGAGCTGTGAAAACACTTGATTGAATTCAGTGATGTCAATATCCCCAGAACCGTCCGAATCCAATGCATCAAACAATTTGTCCGCATCGTCAAACTGAGAACCCTTGGGAAGACGCTTGTTCAGCAGGTTGATGCCAGTGCGAAACTCACACCTGTCTATTGACCTATTTCATTTTCAAAGCGACATGTGAGATGACACTTCTGCTGCCCTGGGGCATATCACATCCTTTCCGCTACTTACCCGGATCCATCCGTGTCCAGAAATTTGAACACAACCAGGAGCATTTCGCTGTGTTCCTTCAGGTTGGATACCTGCTTATCGTCCAGAGACGAAGAAATGCTTGTAAAGGCGGCTGATTGAGCCATTCCTTGGTTGAGTTCTGGGAGCGTAGGAATGAGCGGCATGTCAGTGACGTTGCCATCCTTTCTTGGGCTGACACCCACTTTTCTTCACTCACCTGCTATGTCGATTTCACCATTGCCATCCAAATCCAAGGCGTCGAACAGCGCATCGTGGTCAGTAATCTGCTTGTCTGAAGGCAGTAACCTCTTGTTAAGCATTTCAATGCCCAAGTAGAATTCTTGGCGATCTACAGATGTACGACAACTAGATAAGTCAACAAGCATGTGCATGTCACAGCAACAAAGAAACATACGTCTTACCAATTGATCCACTGCCGTCTGCATCAAAGAGTTGAAACATATTCTTGACTTGTTCCGGATTGGAGCTGAGAATGGTTACCTGATCGCCATCCAAGGCATTGGATACACACGGTGCCACTCGATCTAGATGATGCCTCCAGTCAATGGCGTTGGGTGCTGTCGTTGGCGCCAGTCTGCTTTGCAAGTCTGCCCAGGGGATATCTGGGATTTGCAAGGTGTCATTCATGACTTGACTCCATTGCTGTGGTGTGACGGTTCCATTGGATTGTTGTTGAATGGCTGAAAAGGCGCTGACAAGTTCGTTGCGCTTTTCAATGAGAATTGATTGCAAGACCTTTTCTGGGTCTTCTTGGTTGATGGATCCGTCGTAGTGGAAGTCAATGGCACTGGCGTTGCCTTCCTGATCCAAACTTACAACCGCACCAAGGTTATCTCCTTCCCCATTGGGATAGTTTGCTGTGGAAAAGACGGTGATGACTGCCTTGTCATCGTCACAGTGCATGACCTGTGTTCCCATTTCAGCGGGTTCGTGGCCACGAACGATGTATTGCAAGTTGTGTCGATCGAGAAAGTCTTTGACAACATCCGGACCAAACCTTTTGGGTCGAGTATCGAAAAGTAACGAGATGTTGAGTCCAACAAGAAGATGAGTCAGTTTGTTCTTCAACACTAGCTAGTAGTAGCCAGAGAGTGACAAACTTACTCGATTCCACATCCACGTGCATTTTCGGCTACACCATCAAAATCGGATGGATCACTCCAGATCAAGCCCTCCAACAACTTTTCATGTTCGTTTCGGGACTCCATTACGGTATGCAACTTGCATCGTTCGTCTGGAGTAATCTCGGCCACTTGACTGAGAGAAAAGTTGTCACTGGGGAGACCTCCATGCACGATGAAGGAAGTGTCCGTGACGGCACAGACGGGCAAGGCCGCAAATAGGTCCGACATGGACTTGAAAATGTTGGCACCCCGTCGTGGTCCGTACTTGTCACGAATTTCATCACAAAAACCGTAGACCGAGGCGATCATGGAATCTTCATGGTTGCCACGTAGCAAGATGACGTTCTTGGGATAGACTAGTTTGTATAGGAGGAGTGTAAAGAAAACTTCGAGGCTGTTCTCTCCTCGGTCGACGAAATCTCCGGCAAAGACGACCACCTTTTCGGGATCCCCCATGTCTCCCACGATATCCGATACGCGTCGGAGACACTTGAGAGATCCATGTAGATCACCGACGACAATGACTTGCTTGTGGTTGCTCTTGGTGGATCGCAAATCGATCAATGTGTCTTCCTTCTTGAGGACATCGATGGCTTGTTCAATGAGCATGGTCAAACTCTCTTTATCCAGCAATTCTTCTCGTTGGAGACCCTGCACCAACCGATGAGCTTCCGATTGTGTCAGTCGGTTCAGGTTCATGCCGTGGACCGAGAGTGTCTCCCGAAGGAGTGTGGCGGTGGAACATCGTCGTACGAGTTGTACCAGACTGCGTTCCTGTACTTCCTTTTGCTGTTCTTGCGCCAACTCGTGGAGCTCTCGTACGAACTTGGCCAAACGGATCTTTTCTCCTTCTTCCTTGACTTCCAACCCCTTGAGGACTTGGAACTTGGTGCTGCGCCGTTGACCGCTGCGGCGCTTCAACAGAAAGTTGGAGCTACCAGCGCCGTTCAAGACGGTCGATGCCAAAGAATCCTCACCCAGCAGACCGGCACTAGTGGCCATGGGCGTCGTCGTCGTTTCGGTACCAGTAGATGCATTCGAACCGGGGTTTAACATGGGATTGGCTTCGCATTGGGTGCCCTTCTTCTCGTGCCATAAACCAAGCGTCGCCAAGCCCAAGGAGGCAGCGGCGACGGCCGATGCTGTGAGCCAGCTGCTCGAGTCTCCTCCCTGTTGATGGTGGTGGCGGAACAAAGGTTGCGCCGACGACAGTGAGGTAGCAGCCGATGTCACAGAGCGGAAATGGCGGAACTTGAGGCGCCGTTGCCCGGAAAGGGCAAGTCGTGTCATTCTCTGGAAAACACAAACAGAAAAGAAGAAAGAAATGAGTGAGTGGAGCGCCGATGCAGGAAGAACCAAACAAGCCGACCACATACCGTCATGGTCATGGTGTGTTAGCTTGGCTTGAGTTGAAATGGAGGAAGAATATGGAAGCAAGAGCTGGCAAAAGCGCAAGTGGCTGGGGAGCGCTTGAAATATTGTGAGAAAGAACAACCGCAAACCGAAGGAAGGAGGTGCCCCTTTGTGTGTTGGGCGCGTTGAGTGTGGAAGCTTGATGGGAGAGTGATGGGTGAGTGGTGCTTCAAAGACACACAAAGATCTCAACCAAGTGCCAATGATTTCCAAAAATCTGTTTCCTGTTTCCGTTTGTGTTCGGGTTGTCTGGCTTATTAATACAAGATTGTCTCCAACGACAATGACTTTTAAATCCGCTACATGTCGCACCCCTTCTTTGCTTTTGGTTTTAACAAAATCCACCGCTTTTTCGTTCAAAAGACAAAAGAATGTGTTTACTAGTACTTATAAATCCCGACCTTGTGAGAATACTCTTCTGCTCCCCGTCTCTTTTCGTCGTACAGTAGTCGTACAGCCGTACAGCTAACCGATAAGAACTGCTTTCCACTCTTTCCACTTTCCGACTCAGAAGGACCAAACAGATGATGGGATCCGTGTCCAAAGAAAGCGGTACCAACTGTCCTACCGGAATTGTCTATGCAGTGTTCAAAATAAAGCCTGACGCTCGAAATCAAAATTTGAGAAAATGTTTTAATGGGATTTGGGGAAATAGTTGAATCGAATCTACATGTACTGGCTACGGTGGCATCCGAGTACTCGCTAGCTAGAGTACACACACACGTGCTGTAAGATTGATTCGATTCGATTCGATTCTCATTCAACCCTTCTAATCCGGTACCATCATAAAAGTATTAGTACATCACAACTGAAGCTATTTTTACCCGATACCCTCGTGCAATTACCAAAAATTCACCAGTTATCTCGCTTCAATGTCTGATAGAATCAAGAATCGAATCAAATTCCATATTATTTGCAAAAAGAAGGCGGATTTAGGTGCACCAAAGGGCCATTAGTCCTCTATTTTATAGCCTGATTTGGCAAGATCTTCGTACATAACGGCGAAATTTAAGGAGCAAATTGCAGCTGTACCACCGGCGTTAGGGAAGGTCCTGGTACCTGGTACCGGTTCCAGTTGGTCGCTTATGTGCAGGAAGACGCGGCAATTATTGAATCGTGCTTAATTTGTGCAGATTTTGAATCCAGCCGTCACCCGGGAGGGTCGCGATTTGCTCCAAAAACCTACTGAATCTGACTAAAACTGAAAATTACTGAATTCAGTAATTTGAGTAAATTTGAAATACTGACGTTTTCAAAATTTACTGAAATTTACTGAAACGTACTGAGTCACACTTAACCCTATTGAATCCTACTGAGACGTATTAACTCTGAGTCCCGAATCCCGAGCCCAAAACCGGAAATGAACGGCAACGCAACACTATCGGCTACAACTGGGTGTAAAATACTCGTTAGTTTAACAAACTATGGCCACGGAGTGGCTTTTGTGACGCGGGCAATTGGTGGGGAAGCCCCCACCTAGCTGAGTCGTCATCTACTTATTTGCCCAATCAACATGACCTCATCCACTGGCCCAACGTGGAGCCAGCACCAAGTAGACAGATGCCCTGGGTAGGGGGTGAGCACATTGATAGGGAACCTGCAGCGCAAAACCTGGGTTACAGGGGCTTACACAGGATTTTTGTGGTATTGAAACCATTATCACCATAGGACGTGAGGACCAGTTAGATTGCCAGACCAAAGAGTGCTCGCCAGTAAGTGTGTCTGGGTGATCAGGTCCCAAGCTGTGGCAATTGCCTTGACGTGCAGGGCAAGATGCCACAGAGCCCGTAGGAGGTGCTACTCCTCAGGCTGGACCAGAGCAGGTGTAACCCATCCAATGCCCAAAAATTGTTAGATAGAGGCCAAAAAGAGGCAGCAGAAGATGGGTCAAATGACACACATGGCAGTGTGTGGTTCCCAAGAGGGAGACACAGTGGCTGCGGGAGTGTTGTGGGCTGTTCGAGGGGTTGTTGAGTCAATAGAAGAGGATAAGGGGGCACTGGAAGTGGGCGGTGCCAGGGGCAGGAGGGGGAATCCTGTTGTGTTGGAGTGTTGTTGTTGGAGTTGGGATGTAGCATTGTTGATGGTGTGTTGTAGGATAGAGGCGTGCCTGTGTTCAAAGGTGAGAACAAAGGCATCCTCCTATAGGGTAGGGTGTGATTCGGAAGGGTGTTATCCTCAAGATGGCTGCATGCTCTAGGAGCTGTTGGCTGATCATCTGGGGAGTGGTGTTGTGAAGTTTGCAGGAGGATGGTGGATGTGGTTGGTTGGTGAAGTGTGGGAGTGGGGAATGTCTGGGAGGACCTTGGGTTGAGTGAAGTAGTGGGTAGACATGGGGAAGTCATGGTGGGTGGTAGGTGGTGTGGTTGAAGAGATGGTGTATCCTGAATGTTGACTGTAGTGTCGTTTCTTCAACGCAAGCAATGGAGTTTGCTTGTGAGGTGGCGAGATGATTGATGTAGAAGGTGTATTCAAGGGGCAATGCACTGAGCACTGGTAATCAAGGTTGATATCCAAGTGTGGGGTTGTTGTTGCCACTGGATCAAAGGCTGTGGCCAAGTCTTGGTGCAGGTATACCACTATCTGCAGGAGAAGAATGGTATCAGAGCAAAGGCTGTTAGGGATTCTTTCAGGAAAACTGGAGAAGTCACGCTATAGCCAGTAGAGCAGTGGTGGGGGGATCAAGGTGTGTTGTTGGTTGATGGGGCTGTGTTACTGGGTGACACTGTGTTGTCTCAAGGGCTGGTACTCAATCTGTTGTAGTGACCGATACTATCAATGCAACAGAGAGTCAAGCCAAGATGTGGAGAGGGTACTCGATTCAGGTGGAACTGTGGAAAGTCACTGGAGAGTCACTCAACAATCAATGGGAGAGAGATAGAGTCAGTTATGTATTAATATCTATGCCACACCACGCTGCAGTTCTGTCTGGGGCTCAATCCTTTGGAGTTCCTTAGGTTCAGTAGGAGAGTCAGGTGCAGTAGCAGAGAGGTGGCTGTGTCAATGAAGTGTTGCACAATCTAGCCAAACACGCTAGAGGGGCAGCTTTTGTAGTTGTTCTTGTGGGGGTGAGATCCTTTGGAGAGGAGCTGGGTATCCCAGGGAGGGGCTGTGAAACTAGCAAATTCAGCCAAGCCTGGAGATACAAGAACTCAAGTCCTTACAGGAACTCTGTTGTGTTTGTTCCTCTTGGAGAGGAGTTAGATATCAATGTAGGGGTGGTAACAGTAGCAGGTGTCGATCAGTCAATCAGTCTGTATAGGGATAGACTGGTTGGATCAGTAGGATCAGTTCCAACAAGGAGTCGGGAGAAACCACTAGTGGCCGATGAGAAAGTAAGAAATACAGGTGTAATTCTCTTCGGGTGGTCACTGCAGGTACTCGTGAAGTCCTTCTTGATAACAGTAGGCTTCGTACGGAGGAAGAGGTACGTATCGGAGGGGAGGTCGTTCGTGGGAAATCGATGATTCACGGAGGAGCGAGTCTTGGATCGATTCGATTCGAAAACCGATTCGATTCGCGAGTCGATTCAGAGGATTCGATTCGAAACCACGTCAGTGCCTTAGGGTAAGGTTAACCGAGCCTGTGGTGTGGTGGAAGAGGAGGAGCGATCTTCGAAAAAGAGGATCGGCCGACATGGGATTTCTTCGGCCGTCAGGAGCTTAGTCAGAAAGCAACAAATACGTATGGGAATTGTTTCTTACTGTGCTGTGGAAGGCCGGAGACTTCTTCTTTTTTCAAATCTTCCAACTTGGCCGTCGGCGGTCGAGAATAGAAAACCCGCCCGATCTCGTAGGATTTCAATTGGATGGCTTTCTAATCTGGACGGAGAAAGCCGCGTTGATAGTCCTTGATAGGGAGGTGCGCTTGATAGGGATAGGAGGTATCGATCCTTTTCGGCTTGAATGAGAGATAAAGAGAGGAAAAGGGGTGTATGTTTTTCCGTGATGACGTTGAGTTGAATCCTATAGTAAAACAGTACTCTTCAACAAGATAAACAGAAAACAGGCTTCCTGAGGTCCTTTCGCTTCGTTTCAATGCTTCTAATGGTGCTAATAGGTAGTGTAATGGTAGAGGTATGACCGATTGGTTGTGTTTGTTGCTATTAGTGTTGTTGTTCTTGTATTGACAGATCCAGAGGGGAAGCGCTTCGGTTTTCGGCTTCCCTTGAAAAAGTACTATCGGCTACAACTGTATATACTAGCTAGAACCGATGGCAACAGTACGGATCGACAACAAAACCCAATGACTACAAGCAACATCTATACACTATAAGGATCAAGCAGTCTCTGTGTGCCATTGTCCATGTGCAGTTGCACAATCACACAGACAGCATGCATCGCAGTCTCATGAGCTTCTTCCCAATTCTCCCCAAAACCCCGGTGACGAAACTTCGTCCTGGTGATTGCGAAACACTTCACTCGTTGATTGAAATTCTCGTGCCGAGAAAGGACTCTATCTTTGAATTTGGAGAGCTTCTTTGGGTCAAGCTCATTCTTTGTGGTGAAGTAATCGGGCTCTGCGGTGTACCCAGATTCAGCAATCAAGCGTCGATCAGCTGGCATTTCGTGCATCAACTTGCTACGGAATACCACCAAATCATTCTTCTCTCCTGGGGGTGTTGGCCCATGGATCCAACCAAGCTTTGCTTTATGCAACAACAGACCGAATTCATAGTTCACACCGGGCTTTCCGCCAAACTTGTGGCTGCTCCACTTTTTGGACCAAGGTCGTGGTTCTTCGATTGGACAATGCGTACCATCCAGAGACAGAAAGAAAATAAGTCCCTCATCATTGTCGGCCAGTGTACCCACCATTTCTGGCAAAAGCAGCGCAATCTTCTTCATGTACCGTCTTGCCCATTTTCTGGCAGTCTTCCCAGTTTTGATGTTGAAAAACATGGCAAGGTCAGGCTCCGTGTGGTATTTGAATAGATGTCAAATGCCGATCAGGAGCTCTTTTGGTTTTGCTTTCTTTGGTAGACGGATCGCTTCATCGTCATGATTTCGAAGCTTTTCCCAAAGATCTGCAACAGTTTTCGGATGACAGCCAAATTGCTCCTTGAAACGTTGAATACAACGGGCTGGTTTGTAGCTCTTCCATCTGGGAAATCTGCCATACCGCATACCCAGCATCATAAAATGCTTTTCCGGGTACAGCTTGGCTCGAGGAGATGCCGAGGCCGTGGAAACCTCATCCTCGGAGGCCATTGCTAGACAAAAATATACTTGTGTTTGGCGTTTGGCACTCAAAACTTGCTGCCTCTTCCAGAACCCTGAAGATTCTTCCTGCCAGCCTAGCCCTCAATGACAGCTAAATCTATCGTCTGTGACCAAAACTTGCACCAGCGCGCCATGAATCTTTAAGTAGGATTTGTGAAGGAATGCTGGTGCTTTATCAATATATTCATAGAGGAGATCTGTATTGGAATCTTTCGGGTGGTCAACAGCAAGCGGATCTTTCGTCTCAAACACCACAAATAAGCAGCTAGGACCTTGGCAATGGCCAAGGAGGGGAAGAAAAAGAGAGCGGCAAACATCGCCCTGACAAAGGAAGCTTCAGATCAAGTGCATCGAGATATCGAGGCTTTCCCAGCTTGGTCCTGCAAGAACCTGATTGCGCATAGACCTGAGCTTTACGGTGGAAAATACAAGAAGGCAACCCAAAATCGACACAGCTACTTGCTTCTACAAAAGAAGAAAAATCCTGGTCTCTATTACACGAACTTGTCAAAGATTGGTGCTACTGGAGCGGCTAATACCAGACAAAACGAAGAGGAATTTCTTGGGTCCGTGGCTGGTGACGACGACACATCATCCGAGGAAAGAGAGCTCCTTGCACCAAACGACCAATCCTTTCGTAATCGTCCAGGTACAAGAAGCGGCGCTCCCCTAAAATCTCCTCCTCCAAAAGAGATCTTACAATCTCCTCCACCAAAAGAAATCAACATCCCTGCTGGAACTCCACGGGCAAGAAGAAAGGCAGATCTTACGTGACTTTGCTTCACTCTCTTGCTTTGTCGTCCTTGGGGGATCAGCATTGTTGATTACTCTGACTGCTCTTCCCACATACATGATGACTGAACATGCGGACCTGCTTGCAAAGGAGAAGGTTCGATGCACTCGCACTGAAGAGAAAACAGCAGAGGCCATGACATCTATCAAAGAGGACGAGTCTCGCTATTTGAAGCGAATTCTCATTGTCATGCCTCCTGGCCTTGGGGTATCCGCTGACTTCACCGAAAATATGCCTTGATATGATGTAAAGGTCCACGCCAAAGTTCGAGAAAAGACCAGCACCTTCACAACCGGAGCAACTCGTCGTCAAGTCCAGCAGGTCTTTTCAACCTTTACTGGCAAGTGCGTCTTGTACAGGAAAATCGTCAGCTGATTGCTGCCCTCCAAGGTGATGACCATGGGATCGACAGTGCTTTTGAAGGTATGACCGGGCTTTGATTGGCTTGTGTAGGGTAGCCTACCATTTGTTTTATAATCGTTTTGTTTGCTTCTTGGATATTGTGTTGTTGTTTCTAGGGATGTCTCTTGGTGGTGTCGCTGCTGACGGAAATGGCAATCCTCGTCCATCGTCATCAGCAGCAGAGCTGACTCCATCTTTTGTGAAAGCACCCATTGCTACGTCAACCATCCGAGCCCTTCTGGCTCCACCTTCGATGTCATTCATGGCATCTTTGCAGCAAGTCAAGAGTACATCCGGACAAAGCAAGCAGCCAAGGCCAAAACCACAAGGGGTGACAAGCTCTTCTGCTGGTGTTGGAGGATCGTCGCTGCAAGCTACTGTGAACAGGGGAACACCCCAATCAACATCAGCTGCTGGTACGTACATACCACCTTCCATGCCGACGATACCAACAATGGCTCCACCAATGCCAACAGCGCCAACAGCACCAATGCCGGCCCCGCAGCCGGTCAAGTCTTTGGTTCCAAAACTTGTGCCAGTTGGTACGGCTACACCACAACCTGCGCCGGTTTTGTCGGCTGGAACATTCCAGGCTAACTTTGACCATCCAGGGATGAACTTGAGCAAGTTTTCTGACAGTGCAAAGAGGAGCGACAGTCGCCTTGCGAATGCACAGCAACTGCGAGAAGAGCGGGTTGACTCTGCTGCTCGAAACAGAGATAGAAAGAGATCAGCGAAGATTGCCCGTGCACGACAGCTTGATGCCAAACGCTCGCAGCAACAACAACAAGAGGCTGCTTTGAATTCTGACCACACTTCCTTTGATGAAAAACTGGATGGTGTTGTCAATGAAATAAATCAAGACTTCGAGACTCTCAAAGCAGAGCTAGCCAACAATGAAGAAGAGGCGGATTTTGGTGGGGGCTTCACTCAGATGGAAGACTAATGGCAGGCACGATGCACTGCACGTAAACTATATAAAGTATTACTATTCTTTGTTTCTTCTTTTTACTCCTCCTCATCCCCCCGAGCTTTCATCATGTCCACCAGTGTGGCTGCAGTTTCAGCGGGCAAAACCGTGTCACGTGGTTGAGCGCTGGTGTACTTCTGTCGCATTTTCTTCTTGGCAAATCAAACTTTGCGAGAGGCACGGCCATCGATCTCTTGGTAAATGTGTTTTCGAAAAATAGTCAAGGGAAACTCTTGATATTCATCCCTTGTGGTCCAAAACTCTGTTGGTGTTAATCCAACTTGGCGATCATTGTCGATGTCAGCTTGCAAACTCTTATGCGCTTTGTGCGGCCACCAATCTGGGTATGGCTTCTTTGGTGGAGGATTCTCTTCTCGCAATTCCTGTAGACGGACAAGGTCCCACTCAAATGCTACAGAATCGGTCTCCACACGCTTGTAGTCTTTCTCTAGCTTTGCTCGGAGAGTGTAGAAATTGTTGGTAAACCGAGACTCCTCAAATTTCTTAAACTCAGGCCGATGCTTGTACGCCATGGCAGCGGACCAAGACAAAGGGATATCCCCGCTGATGAGATCTTGTTTCAAAAGCTCTTCACTGGATTCCCACTTCTTGTCTCTTTCTTCCTCTTCAGCGGAGGCGATTGTGCTCTTGTTGCTTGTGCCGATGCTACTATTGTGGTGTCGATGCTCTTTTGTTGTCGATAGTCGCTTCTTGTTGCTGTTGCTGTTGCTCCTGAACTGAAACTGAGAGCTACTCAATCTGGTGGTTTCTTACTGAATTTTACTGAAATTACTTGATTTTACTGATGCTACTGAAAAAATCCAGTCGCCGTTTCTGACAATTACTGAAATTACTGAATGTTGGTTTTTGTATCAAATTTTAACCTCCCCGATGGACTGCTGGATTTTTCGCACGACTCAACTGAATCAAGGGGGATTCAATAATTGCCGCGTCTTCCAGTCATGTACCGGTATGCAGGAACGGCAGCTGAACTCGTCGTGAATACGTTCGTAGCTGGAAACGGTAAAAAGGGCAGAAGTCAGGGCAATGCAAGTGTAGATTTTGAAGAAACGAAGTTTCAAAGCCACGAACCAGCCATCAAAGGTCCCGTCTTCAGTCTTCACGGATCTACAATAGGGTCTAGGTTGATAGAATGGCCCAGCAGAGCTACTACAATAATTTAAGTCGAGTCTTCCTCACCAATTTCTTTACATTCTTTTCTACTTGGATCATCATATTCTCATCATCATGATCATGATCATCACTTGCACTGCTACTGGCATTGTACTGTACAGGCAAGAGAATTTCATTGAGTTGCAACCAAAAGAAAGCTTGGCAACCTTCCTGGAATTGTTCTTTGGTTTTGGAGGTTGATTGCCAACATAGAATAATTGGGCATGCTTACATATTTCTGGATATAGCTGCCTGTGGAAGGATCAATATCCATCTAGTTTAGTTATGGCTACATCTGCAGTCTAGTTACATAAATGAGGCTCGTCGAGTGCATACATGGTGACCCCCTCCACTGTATCCAAAACGGAATTACAAAACAGGCAAAACCTCACTTCTTTGAAGCAGCTCAACATCTAAAACTAAATAGCTGCAGTGACAAAAATTCAACACCAGGACCGGAAGCTCACAGAGGAACATCAACAGTTTCAGTACCCTCTACTAGTAGCTCCACGGTACATTTCAAGGTGACAATGTGGTGCCTATCAGCCCGAGATCACGAGTTGACCATTACAAGCCAGAGCAGGCAGAGATGGACCCAATGAGGCTACCTGACCAAAGAACAAAACAAGCAGGAAAATTAGAAGACATGCATAGCGAGTTGGTGGTTCTTCTACTATGCATACTTCATTCCGGACACACAAAATCACGTGTACCGTGAGAAGGTTGCATCTTTTATACCTGCCTGCAAACCTTGTCATGCAAGAGCTCTCAATTATTTGTTCGAGCCAATTTACACTCCCCTCTTCGATATCTGCAGCGAAGGTACGATTCCCAGACAACCGTCGTTGCAGCAAGAAGACAAGCATGACATACCGGTAAGTCGAAGGGAGGTGCTGCACAAACTTGGTTTGGAACAACTCGGAGACCATACAGACACCAAAGCAGTTTCACCCCATGACACTCTATTCCTTTTACCCCAAACAACAAGGGAATTCACTAACATCCACCCCAGATAGGCCCCAAGAACCTGCCAAGGTTACAAGAAAGCTTTAGCTGACCACTTCGGTGGACAATCGATTCGATTCATTCGATTAGATTCGGTTCGGTTCCGCTCTGTACAGTACCACTCTACGGCTGTACTCTAGACTACCATTCGATGATCATTCGATAGTGGCGGGAAAACACGTGCTGAGCGCACCTGTTTCTCTAAGTGTGGCGTGGCTGGCTCAACCCGGAAGGCGCAGCTCGGAAGCCAAAGAATAAAGCAACGGCAATTTTCCAACCCAAAACAAAACGGCACATTTTGCCCCGTCATCTTCATTATTTTTGCGTCGAACAAGCTTCCATTTGACTTGCACCTTGCACTTCGTGCTGCACACTATTTTCCAAGATTGAGCCACTACTACAACCAGAAGAAAGAAGCATGGGTGAAGAAGACGGCAAGGCAACACATTACGAGGACTATGATTGGGATGAGCTGCCAAAGGATGCTCAGGATGCTGCCACCGCCCTTGGCTACGACAAGGACATGTGGGATAATGATGGCAAGCCACCCAGTGACGACAAGGACTGGGAAGAACTGACCAATGACGAACGAAAAGCAGCCGAAACGCTTGGTTACACTGAGGAGAATTGGGACGAAGGCGGTGGGTTCTGCTGCTGCTGATTTTAATAAAAGATGGACAAAATTCGAATAATGTAGTGCGGAAGTGGATTCCGTCTTGCTTTTGGACAAAAAATCTCTGGATAGAAGAATGTTCTGTGACTGTTGATGTGAGAGGTTAAGCGTGGATTTGGATTGACGGGGACATGACATTGGAAGGAGAATGGAAAGACCGAGACAATCAGCGATCGATTCGGTACTACCGGTAGACAATGAGGCAAACCTATGATTCCCATCCGGTTTTGTTTTCCATGCATTTTGCCCCGATGATAGTCTATGTTTGTTAATAGACCTGCTTTTATCATTTTGGGCGGTATGCCAGTGCCTTGCTTCATTCCATGGCCGAATCCTTTCCATCAGAGTGACAGTCTCTCTGTTGACCCGACCGGACACGCCTCCATCAATCAAAGAGTCTCTTAAACAGAAGCATGACACGTGCTGATAACCGGCAGCAGCTGGATGGTAACCGGCAGCAGCTGCAGCTGGATGGTGTCTTTGCGTGTAGTCTACAGAAAACAAAAAGCAGCCAGTTTCGAAAGAAAGAGAGACCATGTCGTCGACAGAGGCTGGGTGTGTGATGTTGGGCTTTCCAGCAGGTGCTACCTCACTTCTACTGGTGCTACCTACTAGCTAGCCAGAAATGAAAAACTCGTTCAGCCTCTTTCCACCCTATTGCTATGAGAGGAAAGGCACGCTCATGAAGCTTTTTGTGCTGGCCATGATGCTACATTGCAGCTAGCTTGGTACGTGAATGTGGCTACCAACCTTATCAAGCAAACGGTGTTGTGTTTGGTTTTTTTGGTTGAGTTCCCTCCAGCCAAGTCCTCATGAGCCAGCGAGAGGCGCTTTGCGAGGACTACCGGTACTACTGATGAAGGCCTCAAGACTGTAACCTAGCTAGCTACCGTAGCCAACACGCAAATAATATGTTCTCTCCTTACTTTGTACTGAAGCTTCTAGCTAGCTACTGGCTACAAGCAAACTGGCTAGCCTGACTGATGTATCATTCTGGCTTCTTCCTGTCGTAAGGGTCTCCATTTGCCTTCAGGAAGCGACCCCAATTCAATGGATCCAATTCTGGTCCGGACCAGTTGCAGGACATGCATCCCCAACATTTCTCGACACATGCGTCGTATTTGATGTTTTCGGCCTTCAGTCAAGACGAGACGCAACACATGACGACGATGATGATCTGTGTTGTTGTTGTGGTTCGTAAAGTAGAAAGGCTGCTCCTCTGGGTGGATCCATTCGGCCGCCACCACTCGTCGCAGAGGCTTGTCGTCGTCGCCAAAGAGTCGAAATCCGCCTCGTCGCATCCGGTCCAACTTCCGGTGTGGCTGTCGGGGTAGATTTGCCCAACTCATTCCGGCGGCTTGTTCGTATCGTGTGAGTCCTTGGAGAGGTTCGACCAGCACGTAATATTCCTTTTCAATTCTGGTCCCTCCCGATATCAGTTTCTTTGCCATTACACCGTTCTTTGTAAAGATGATCAGTCCGGAAGACTCGAGATCCAGTCTTCCAGCGGGTACATAGCCTTCCAGGGTGGGCTCTTGCGATTTGGTGGGATGATGCCATTGAAAGGACAGGCTGTCTTGAACGATGGATTGAGCATGTCGAAACTCCTCGTTGTTGCTGTTGTTGTCAATAGAATCATAAGTGGATCTCACAATGTGAGCATTGGTCTTGGTCAAAAGCCGCACGGCAGGTACATGCTTCTTGGCTCCCTCTGGTTGTCCCGAGATGTACCCGACGGGTTTGTGGAGTACGACTGCCGCAGTTTGGAGTTGGGACCAGGAGAATTCCAAGGGGCTGGTCGTCACCTCGTTTTGATTCGTACCGGTAGTAGTATTCTTGCCATTCAACAAAACAATCTCCGTTTCGTCAAAGGGTACTTTTTGTCCCAGAATGCGAGCCACGGGACTTCCATGTAGTAGAACACGACCTTCTTGAATGAAGCGATCCGCTTCGCGACGGGAGCATATATCCAATTCACTCATTCGTTTGGAGAGTCGAATCAGATTATGATTGGATGGTGCAGTAGATTGTTGGCTCTTCTTCTTTAATGGTTGTTTTGGGTTGGCTTTCGTGTCTCTTTTGGTAAAAGACACTCCAGAGGCAAACGAGACTCGGCTAGGTTGATTGTTACAGAATAACGGTGTACTGCCTCGTGGATGCAGCCGTAGCTTTCTGTGTACATTGACTCCACCGCGAGCAGAAGTGAACAAGCTGTCGCCAGTGGCAACCGAAAGGCGGCGGCATGGACTTGAGATTCCAGCGAAGATACTTCGACTTTGAAGACGAAACAAAGGACAGCGAATCTGCCCACTGCATGTTGTGCGAGTCAACAGCGATGCAAGAGGACGCATTGGCATGATCCATGTAGGTGGCAGAGCAGAGCAGAGACAAAGCTTCTTCGATGTGAAATGGGAAGTTACTATGTATACTGTACAGCTTCTTCGTGTGGCGTCCTCAATCCTCAATCATTGGCTGCGATCGGTTTCTTTTATTAAACAGCAGAGCCGCCAGACTGCCCTGCTCGACGTGTGTTCGAATGATTCGATTGAATCATTCGATTCAAGGGAGCAACGGTACCGTACTTACTATGTCGATACCGGTACATGATCCCACAAGTCGCTACCAGGAACCGGTACCACAAAACAACATGTGACTGTTCGTCCAATGTCATACAACTAATAGTTACGTTTCTGTTTCAACTACAAAAGCAACAAGCACACAACACTCTCCTCAGAATGTTCCATGTGATGCTTCATCAAGGTACCGATTGCATCTTTTGCTCTGAGTTTTCATGTATATCTTTTTGAGAAGGCATGGGGTTTGCTAGTCCTGCTACAATTTTGTCATCCAAGCCAGCCACTTAGTAGGCTCCGACATCGGCCATGTCAAGGTCATTGGTGGCAGTCACATCATAGACACAGTCAGCAAAGGCTTGGGCATCAGCCCTCAAATGAGCACAGGCAGCCGTGGCAACTTCTTCCGTGATACCTTCACTGAGACGACGAGATTCCTTTTCCTGGATATCTGGGAGACGGCACCTGTTGGGGTACTGAGGTTCCCTTACAGATCGGAAAAGCATTGGCTCATCATCTCTGACCTGCCACTCTTGTCCGAACGCATTGATGTCATCATGCAAGTCAGTGACTCCATCACGCGCCAGCAGCTTTCCATTAATGTGACCCAACAATCCTTCAACATCAACAAAATGGTCATTGGTGTTGTGGTTGACTTTGACACTGACAATGTTCTTGATATTGCTGAGAGTCACATTCTCTTTGGGTCCAAGGACGACATCAAACAAATGATGAATCTTGCTCATCTGAGTGTGGAAGACCGGATACCCTCCCAGGGTGTTCAGGGCATTGCCCTTCCTCAGAACAGGCTGTTCGAACAGGGCACCTTCCACTCCATTGAGGGCATACTCTCCCCAGCTGCTCACCTCCAGAGTGTCAGTTCCAATCCTTACAGCAGCTGTCTCCATGTAACTATAATCATGCTGGATGGTGGTGCGGGCATGGACAGTGAGGTCCTGTTCACCATCAAACTTGGGAGCATGCATCAGCTTGAGGTCACTGTTGGAAGAGAACCAGAAGTGAGCAAGGTAGCATGGCATAGTCCCCAAAAGAATTGAACCTACCATTCACCCATGTAATCAAAATGTTCACCATTCCATGACTTCACATGAGGATCTCCACCCATACCATTGGTGGGAGGCCTGGCAGTAGGGGGCCCGCCGGTAGGGGGAGTGGGTGTGGGTTGTGGACAGTTTGGACACTGGATGCAGATTTCAATGTGACTGATGCCGTGACCATTCTGAGAGCTAAAGGTGCCACCATTGGTGGGACTGAGGTCAATATACCCACCAGTTGAGCCCTTCACCTTGATGGCAAGATTCGAAGTACCTGCACCAGTCCAGGAAATGGTGGCATCCTTGGATGCACCATTACATCTGACAGTGACCTGAATGGAACTAGCAATGGGACAAGTTCCTGGGTTACCATTCAAGTTACCGGTATCAAGAGTGTAGACAACAGGGGTCAAAGGGCCACCAGAGTCTGGGCAGCCTGTAATCTTGTAGGCAAATTCAAATCCAAAGGGAGTTCCATTTCCGCCCTGCACACAATGGTTGTTAGCTGGACCATAAGGTCCGGTAGTGACAGGAGGAAATGGGTTAGCAGGGCAAGTCTGGGCTGTGGCCCCAGTCAAAAAGAGACCAGCCACGAGGACGGAGAGGGACAGTTTTCCAAACTTCATGTTTGCAAAGCCAAGGACCTGAAATGTGAGAGCAACAACCTCAAAACTCTGGCCAAGGATCTCCCCTCAAAAAGGTGATGTAGGGATCGCAGTTGCCTTGCGAGAGACCTGCTTCGGTTCTTTATTTTTGCGCGATCCACTCAAATCGAGATTGAAAGGAGAAAAGCCCACCATTCTAAGTAGCCTCGCGCTTGTATTAAGTTTTCTTAGCCATTGTACTCGAGAAAGTCTTTTTGGTTCTCAATCCTCTGGTATTGGCAGCTTCAAAGGCGAGACTCTAACAAGGTCCGCTTTGTCAAATGTAAGAGTTCTGATTGCCAAAGCAACCAGATCATAGTCGGGAGTCGGACGAGATCGCACCGCGCTCAACAACCTGTGATGGAGAGCATTGGAGAGGTGAAGATATCGATATCGAAGCCACTTTTATTCCCGGGGCTTAAATACTCTTGCATACAATCACGAATTTTTTGCGGGTGTACAGAGGCGAACTAATCTTTAAGATTCAGGCTGCCGAAGGCATGAGCCCTCAAGATATCGGTCGATATCGAAGCCACTTTTATTCCCGGGGCTTAAATAGCATACAATCACGAGTTTTTTGGGGGTGTACAGAGGCGAACTAATCTTTAAGAAACTCCACTGTCGCCTCGTGAAGCAACTTCAGAAGAGAACAGCATCGACACGAAACACGCCGAGTATCGAGGAAGCGCGTGACAAAGGCAAAATGGCACGGTTTTAGCTCCCCCAGCGCTAATCGTGCTTGTTGGCATGATGTTTTGGAAAACATGCCTCTCTTTTTATGGTTCTAAAGGTACGCGACGGGTGGAACCTGCAGGGTGCCCGGAGAGAACCAGGAAGTTAGATGAATTTTAGGAGAAGCCCAAAAGAATAAACCTCACCATTCACCCATGTACATGAAGTGTTTGCCGGTCCAAGACTTTACATGAGGATCCCCATCGACACCAGTGGAGGTGGGTGCAGCAGGAGTTGGAGCAGCAGGAGGTAGGGGACCTAGGTTGGACAATTTTGACACTGGATGCAGATTTTGATGTGAGGGAGCTAAATGTACCACCATTGACGGGACTGAGGTCGATATATTCCACCAGTTGAGCCCTTCACCTTGATGGCAAGATGGTGGCATCGTTGGAGGCACCATTACATGTGACAATGACCTGAATGGAACTAGCAATGTGACAGCTTCCTGGGTTACCATTCGGGTATCAAGAGTATAGACGACAGGGCCAAAGGGTGACCAGAGTCTGGGCTGCCTGTGATCTTGTAGGCAAATTCAAATCCAAAGGGAGTTCATGGCACCTCTATCACTTCTCCAGATCAAAGGATTCTTCACAACGCCAACACCACCAGAGCCTTGCCTGGTATGGTACTGAGCACCAGTAGCAGTTGGTCTGCCACTTGAAAGGGGCCAAAGGCGTTATGCTTTATTCACATTACATGTAAAAGTCACATCATCTTGAAAGGGATTTATTGATGGTGCGTATACTTGAGTGCACGTGTATCTGGTATCTGGTATCCTTTCCCGGTCATCGATGATTTGATTACTTTGATTTCTACTACCGGTACTTGCGTATGCGCTACCGTAAAAGTATATCCCAGAACTGAGAGAAATACTGAGAGCCTGTACCTGTGGTAGCCATCCTACAGGAGGTATCCTTCCTATCGATCGAGGTATCAACACCACCAACACCTGGTGTATGCAAGGTCGGATCATTAATACCAGTGACGACCTAGTGAAGGTCACGTCCTCGACCGTAAGAAAAATGAGGCTCGCACCTCTACTACTCACTGTTAAGATATACGAACGCACCTCCACCTCTCTGTTCGTTCGAAACGCACAAGTCCACGAAATCGCTGGCTACTAGTAGTAGCTAGCTAGCCAGTACGTTCGAAAAGCACAAGCACAAGTCCACGAAAACGAAAACACTACAGCTACAAGCACAAGTCCATGTAACAGACTCACTATTAGGCATGGCTACCATGCTCATTAAACTAAAGTAAACTCTACTGAGCACGAACAATACAAAGATCCTCATGCAGACTGCCCATAATGGTGTCCTGCTTGATGGCAGCAGTAATATTCAAAACACTTCCTTTGTAATGCTCCTCAATCTTGGAGATGACCCAAGCTGGAGCTTTCTGAGCATTGACAAGTGTAGCCATGAGAGTCAGAGTGGCTTCCTCCTGGAGTAGGTTGACTTGCAAGCCCTGATATCATCAGCAGTGAAGTTCTTGGCTTGCTTGTTGCCACCAATACCATGCATCCACTCTTGCCAAGCAGAGCCAACAGTTCTGTACTTGGCTAGCTTGGCAGGCCTACTATCAGCAGGGGTGGTGGCCACAGCTTGTCTTACCTGAGGCTAGTCTGGCCATTCCGGCGAGTCCTTTCCACAAGTCAACCCATTTCTAAAAAGATTACCATCTACCTGATCAGGTGTTGCCATCCTTGGAGGCTGAACAGCAATCCTAAAAAGCAAACAAAAATATAGATTTAGCAGCAATAATAGCCATGGTTAATAGCCAACAGCCACAAGTCACACTTACCTGCAAATATTTCCATTGAGTTTCGTCATCTCGCGCCAGCCAAGTCTCCAACCAACCTCTCAAAGCAGCAGCCGAACTGTCGCGGGTCCTACCTCCTGCGCAATGAGCTCTGGAGCTGGTTGTGCTGCGCATAATCCTTGTCAGAATCTCCTCGTTCGTTCGTACCTGTGTTGCGTTTGCATAGCCGTCACCTGCCGACTGATTGGCAATTGACGAGTGCTTGCCTGGCGGTCGTTCCCGTATGCCGCCAGTCTGCCCACTCGTGCCACCGCCGCCTCCCGTATCCATGGCTCGATTTCGTGATGGAGCTTGGTGTTTGCGTCCAAATAGAGAGAGGCACTTTCACACCAGGGTTGACGCCAACAGGAAATCGCCTTGATGCGCTCGTAACGCATCTTGGATCCTAACACGAACGGGAGGCTCCATGCCTCCTCAAGATTCGTCAGAGCAGCCCACAAAGAGGCAGAGCCAAGGTGAAGCGAAATGTCGTTAT